AAATTAGGCGATGTAACGGGTTAGATTTACTCGGTGGTGTTCAATCATTGTCGTTACGTCTCGTCAAGGAATATGTATTGTTAACGGAGGAGCAGGTAGCATTAGCTGAAGGGCTATTTGTTTTCACACTATAAACCACAATCAAAGTTTCAGATCAATTGATTGTACGTCGCAAATGATCAAGACATTGTACGACAAAAAATTTGCACGTGCAAGGACAAAAACCGAAGCAATTATTTGTAATATTTTTTAACCATATTCATTTTCACAATTGCAGAAAGAATTAGATTAAATGCACATTTATGTCCATATATTATGATGCTTCCAACCACAAAGATTTAAAATTATTTCCCACAATTGTTAGACTTTTTTGATTCAGAAACAGGGATTAAAGTTAGAATATTAGATTTTGTTTCATTGCCGGGTGAAACTTTTTTTTCCTAGTGGCAGATTGAGAACAGTTACAGAGTAACAGAGTCCATTAATCTATAATAAGGCCAGACGTGGTGGTCTCTTTATTATGGAGGCACCTAATAGGTCGGTCACCATTGCCTGCTATCTACAGTCAGGCTCCCCTAACCACTATACCGTGTGGGCGGCTGCCGGGTGAAACTTCATAAATAATTTTTGATTCATTAAGTACTATTTTAGAAAAGAATAATTTGAACAATAAAATTATTGCCTATTGTGAGACAATAATTTTATTGTTGACATTAACGCAAATTTTAATGGAAAAGCTAGAAGAGGCATCAATAACGTTTTTATGAAACGAGCTTTTGAACCAAAAAATTATTTGAGTAGGTTGTGCAGCGCACATTCTACACAATACTATTCAAACAGCATCTGGCTTACTTCCAGTGGATGTTGAAAATATTATTTCAAACATTTATTCGTATTTATATATATATATGTATATAATTTATCAAGCAAAGCAGTAATAACAATTTTTAGAAAACCAATTTTGGTCTAGAAAACATCTTGTGCAATATGCTGCAAAATAAGTAAAATATAAAAATTGTAGTAAGCTCGCCTAAAAGTTACCAAGAGCTGCTGCTCCAAAAGGTTTAACACGTTTTCAAAAAATTAATACACATGAAAATCAAATCATTAGACATGTAAAACATTAATAAAATTAAAAAACAGAAAAAGTTAAAAAGTAAGCGGAAAATGGTAAATTAGCCCAATTCGACTTCCAAACAGGCTTTTCAAGGGAAATTTCATTTATTTGAACGTCGAATCAAGCTAACCCCATTACGCGTTTCGCCGACCCGAAACAGACAATTGAAAACTTTTTCGCTAAAAAATTTTTTTTAATTAGACAAAGTGTCTTGGAAATTTTAATAGTCTCAATTCTCTGTTCCAATTTCCCGACGCGTCCGCACAGAATGACACATTAAGGTGTTAAAATATGTTAATCAAAACCTAAACTTCCTAAATCTAGACTAAAATTAAAATTAAAATCAAAAACGAAAATAAATAGCGATGAGCTATTAGTCCTAAAAATACAAAAACATACGGGCTGGGCCTTCAAGCTTAAAGATTAACAATTTAATTTTTAAATAATAGATTTTAGAAAACTGTAATGAAAACCTGTAATTAACATAAAATAAAACAAAAATTAAGAAGAGAACAAACTCAGTGAGTCTTGCTATATATACTGTGCGTGTCGAAAGTCTGAAAAGTTTTTGTGAAAACGCAGAAATCAAATATAAAAGAATTATTGGTTACAGCAAAACATGATGGCTAGCTTTTTTACCAGCTGTAGAAATTATTAAAAAAATATACGAACCATTAATATCATACTTTTTATCACAAGATAAATGTCCAAAGATATTGCAGCTGTTTTTTTGAAAATGACACATCACAAATTTGTCGTCAGTTCATCCACAACCAAGCTACATTATTCCACAATGCTGTGAAAATTGTTGAAGGGTACAAAATTCCAGTTACAGAAGTGTCAAATGAAATCAATAATATAAAAGCAAAATTGCGAGAAAGAACTGATAACGATTACGTTCCTTTAGTTATTCGAAAGGACATCACTAGGTTGAAAAACAAGGTGCTATATTAGACGACCTGATTTTCTGAAAGAAGTCAGAAATTTTTATAATAACTGCTTGGAATATCATGAAAAACGGACAGTTCAACTCGAGGATATTAAAAACTTTCATTGGGTGACATTTAAAAAGGAGATTTTATGGAATATGTGGAAAAATCTTTTTAATATATTAGTAACTAACTATATTTTCCGAAAAATAATACAATTTGCGAAAAGGATCTTTCTGGTGCGGTGTCGTTGGTAAAAAGATAAGTTACTGATGAAAAAATTAAATGTTGGTTGTCTGCAAATGTGGAAACAGACAAAAAAATGGACGGAGTTATTCCTTCATTTTAAACACAATAATATTCCTTATGAAAATATTTTGAAAATTGTAGAACACACGCTCTTCCTTCCAGGAACAAATGCAGCAACAGAACGTGTTTTTTCTAGTATCAATAAAATGTGGACAATTGAAAAAAACGCAGTTGAAGATTAAAACTTTAAAATCTGTATTAAGCCTAAATTATAATTTAAACAATTCATGTGAGAAATTTCACGACATTTTAATAAATGATCCGAATCTACTACAAAGTATTCACTCCGATAAAAAGTATAACCGTGAAACAAAATCATAATTTTTTTAACAAAATATTAAATTAATTAAAAAACATAATATTCAAATTATTGTTTTTTACAAATATTTTTATAGTTACCAATAGTTAATAATAAATATATTTTGTATATTTGTAGACAAGTATATGAATATATATAATAAAATATATTTCTTTGAATTATTGGTCTGCTTTCATAACTAAATTATAATTCTCATTTCATTCCATTTGTCCTGCTTTGTCTCAATGAAAATGTGGTCACTTTACTTTTAGAAGCTCTGAGCGCTAATAAGATTTGTGTGTCCCCACTTATTAAAAATTTTCATAAATTTACAGTATTGCAAAATTGTGAAAATTGCCGCCGATTCCTGTTGCCTGAACATCTCTAATAACCGTTATTCAGCATGTTATATTTACTTCCCCACTTATATTTAGATCTATTTTTTCCTCTTACATTCCTTTTTAGATTAGCTGCACCATACATTCTGCCGTAGCCGCCCATTCGGTACAGAGGGTAGTGACCCTGACTGCCATAGCGATGAACCCGGGTTCGAACCAGGAGAAGGCATGGTTGTAACTGTTCGTCCCTTCATAGGAGGCAACGGCGGCCACCTATTAGCCGCTTCCATAATGAAATAGCGGTGAATCTTTACATTATGGTAACTTGGCGATTTTTTGGCGAAAATTTGGCGACCAACCCTACTACAGCAACCTGCTAGTTTTGTTTTGGACGGCATTTTGTTTTCACGAAGTAAAGGCGTTTTTTTTTTACTCAACATTTTTTCCAACAATCTGCTACCCGAATTACGCTTATACTAGAACTTTTATGGAACAAAAATGCTTAATCATGAAGATTAGGTGCGAAATTGGGAGAAAGTGCAGAATCACAAACTGCGTGCCGCGTTTTTAAGAATCGCAAATACACGGTATCCATGTACACGTCGACCTATTTTCACTTCAAAAAAAATCCCAAAATTGCACAAAAATGGCATTGCGCACACTCTTGACTTTATCTATGTACACAAATACCTATTTTCACTTAAAAAGTCAAAGAAAATTGACAAAAATCCAATTACATGTCTCATGATCTCTCATTTCTCTGAGACAAAATAATCTGTGATTCGAACTGTGTACTTCTCAGATTATTGCTAAAGTCCTAGCTAGTAACCTTTATCGCCTTACCAAAATGTAGCCAAACTACCTGTTACCACATTCTAAAGATTAGCCGAAATAGCCACCACTTCCGGCCGTTGTAGTGGCGCAAGGCTAATGGCTATTAAATAAAGCGTCTGACTATTAAAAAAAAATCTTCCGTAAAACCATTCAACGAGAGATTTTTGTGGTGCTGCCAGTCTTTGAGTCCATAAGTACGTCTTTCTAGTGAGCCATTTAATTGATGCCCTAAATTCTTTGACTAAGTGGCTGACTTACGCGCAAACCAGTTCTTAGGGAGAATAAATCTTCAAGCAAAACATTTTCCATCCAGTTGGCAAGATGTCCTGCATAGCGAGTTGGAACATAGATTTTAGCAAAACTGTTTCTGCTAAGAACCCTTCAGTAGCAGTAGAAGGAGATGCTGGCTTCTCGGAAAAGTTTCTGCTTGCTATATTTGACAACCCCATAACGTTCACGCTAATCTTGACCATGTGTATGGTGCTGAGAATTTTGCAGTTATTTTTCGTCGTCAAATTTATGCGATGTGACATTCAAGATATTATTGTCAGATATTAGCATCAGATTTAGAATCGGGATATACGAACACTAAACTTCATGGAATGCGAAGTATGTTCAAATAATTTAAATAAGTTGCTTTCCTAATGCTAATGTTGTATTAAAGGTTCCAGAGGAACTTGCAAGTGGGGTAAAGATGTTTTTGTCCAGCATTGATGATGGAAAATAGACAAATAAACAAATAAATATGTTCTTTTGCATATATGGATATGTTTTTCTTACATTAAATAAGGCATTGATATATTTCTGTTCATTTATTGTATACAGCATAATTATATGCATATTTTATACATCTATGGGAATGCTTTTATTACTTCCACTGTTTCAGGCAGAAATTACTGATATACATGAAAAATTTATATTCTAATTTTTTTTAATTCAGTTGTTTTCAATTAGTTTTAGGAACATTTATACTTACTGAACCTTTTAAGTAATCATTTATAATAAATAAATCAATAATTCTCATAATTAAAATCAATAGTATTAACATTTAAATTGTAAACCTTTTCTACAAACTTTTCACTGTGAACTTGTCCTGTAGTGGTCTTAATTTAGAATTGTTTCAGTATGTTTTTACAACCTAGAATTCATTATTTTTATGAATTATTATTTTATAGATCAAAAGACCTTATTCAGAAAGCCATTCTTGACAATGATTTCATGAAGAATTTAGAAATGATACAAATCAAAGAGATAACAGATTGCATGTGTCCAGTAGAATATGCAAAAGATAGCCTCATCATTAAAGAGGGCGATTATGGCTCTGTTGTCTATGTCATGGAAGGTATGTAAAACTTTAGTTCTGATTTAATTCTAAATATTTAAAATGTTGTACTAATTTATTCAACATAGTCAATGAAATTAATTTTAGTAAAGTAATAATTTAATAATATTGTTTGAAGTGCAAAAGTGTTAGTTTTTAATTTTTTCCACATCTGAAGTTTTTATTGATATTTTTAAGGAATAAATTTGTTCCATATATGTAATGTTTAATGTTTTTCATATTATAATATTGTAGAATTTAAAACAATTATCTTAGTATTCATTTCATAGTACATATTTATGTTTGGGGATTTGTAGGCATTTGTAAAGTAGACCTGAATTCTGCCTAAGTACTAGAGTTGAGGCACTCCCTAAATCATCTGACTTTTTCTCTTCCACAGAAACAAAGAAAGGGAACGTTGGAAGCCATTGTAAGAACTTTATGCCTTAGGCTTCAAATTATTATAATAAGGCTTTCTTTGTAAAATAAATATTAATACTGCTTTTTTTTAAACATTGATAGACAGCCATAAATGGCTTTACAAAACCAATTAGAATGTGTAATTTATTAAGCAGTTTTCCTTGACATGAGTTCACTGCACATATGTATATATTTACATTATTTTTAGATGAATGCCATTTTGCCATTTATTAACATAAGTCTCATTGATTATGCCTCTATTTATACTTAATAAAATTTTTTATAAATGGATAATAATTTATGTGTATTTATGCTATACAAGCACTGTGTAATTTTTTTTTTTTTTTTTTTTTCAAATTAAACAAAATTGAAACAAATGACTATTAGATAATAAAAAATGTAGATAAGGCTTTAAATACTAGTATAGGCATTTTTGTTGCATTATATATGTATACATAAACATAGTATGTATAAGTTTGGGAACCATAATGTTGATTTCTTTCAGTAGTCATATGTTATGAATGACAAAACTTAATCTTTAGTCACTTAATAGTGAGCATAAGTTTTAGAAGACAGGTCAGGTATCATATTAAATTCCATACAGCCACCTTGGTTGGTGTAGTAGCTACTGTTTCTAATTGCTGTATCACTAAATTTGGGTTCGAATCCCAGTGAATGCTTGGATGTTTGTAAGTGTATAATGTCTTTGCACCAAAGAGGCACTTAAAATGCATGATGAGCCACAAATCCTCTCATGGGGTTTGGTGACAGAGGAAGAGAGTGGGAAACCCTTTTGGACTTGTCTTTCAAGGAGTTCTGCTTCAAAATTTGACAGAATGCTGCAGTGTCACACTGTCACCTCTGAGGCAACAACAGCTGTGCTCCTTATTGGAAAATACAGTTCTGCAGTCTTTGCCAAGACAAAATTCATGAACTTGGTTTGATGTTATTGTCAGACAAGTGAGATAAGTCACAACAACAACAAGCAGGAAAACAATATTTACTTTTTGTATCAAAACTTTCAATGTAACTCAGAAATTGTGATGGAAAATAAACTTGAAAACATTTACAAAAATAACTCTGTACAGACTTTGTAATAGCTCTAAATTCATGCTGAAAGAACAACTAAGGACTTTTCATTTGTATTCATTTTTTTACTAAGTGTCAAATGGTGTCTAGGCTTTCTTTCATAAAATAATACCAGGAGTGAGGATGGGATTTTCAGAAATTCCAGATCTCGTTCTTGCTATAAATACTGTGCATGAATATAGTAAAATACTTTTAGCATTTTTTAAACTATCAGTTGCATGTTCTCTCATCAAAGCAACCGACTTTTCAAATAGGATCATATTTAAAATGTGTGGTATATCAAAGTTTAATTTAATTGATGAATTTATGTATTTTTTAAGTCAAAATATTAAGAATACTTTGCAAATTTTGTAGGTATCCATCATTATAAATTGGCAGTTAGCCTCCATATCTACTGATAAATTTCTCAGTCTTTTCACTCATTCCTTGATAAATTCTTCTGATACTTTTTCAGTGTTTTCATTCATTCCTTTTATAGTTATGTTTTTATTTTTAAAATGCAGAGATTTTAAATTGATATTCCATTTTATTCTTTAGTTAATTTCATGCTTTACAGTCTGAAGCCTATTAACTGAAATTCTAGATTTCCTTGGTTAATTTATCAAATTAGTAGTTTGAACAAATTGCAAAGACCTTGAATTTTTCATTGTTCACAATTTATGATAAAAAATTATATAGTTTTGTGTTTTAGATTTTTACATTATTTAATATTTTATTTTCCCCCTGATTACTTCAGCAAATAAAAACATAACTCTTACAAAGTTTTCCTCATCTGTTAGTGCTTTTACTGAGCATAAAACTGAAATATCCATTTTATCATATCTTACATTAGAATGATAAGTTAATTAATTTCCTGAAATTGTTCATTCTCTGTTCTTTAATAGGTCTTTCATACAGATTTAATTTTAAGAAATTTTTATTGAGTGAACTTTTGGGCAAATATATGCTTTCTGGAATTTTGTGTTTACATTTTTAGCATTGTGTGCATATAATAATAGTTTTATTTTAATCGAATTCTAATTATTATATGTTTTTTTTTCCCAGAGGGTAAAGTGGAAGTCTCAAAAGAAGGCAAATTTTTATGCAATATGGGTCCTGGTAAAGTTTTTGGAGAATTAGCCATTTTATACAATTGTACGCGGACAGCAACAGTCAAAGGTTTGTTAAAAATGTAGACTTGTGTAATAACCTACTTTAAACAATATTTATTGCATTAATTTATGCTGTAATATGAAATCCTTCATCTAATCAAGAGTTTGCAATTTTATGCTTTGTGAAGTATTGCATAGTTTAATTTTAAAAGCATTCTTAATGTACATTACTTGATCTCAAATATGATACTTATTGTAAATAATTAACAAGTAATAAATTTCACCATTGTAATATTTGATAATGCTTCCCCCCAAAAAAAACTTAATTAAATTAAATTTTTATTTATTTATTTTAATTTTTGAAGAAGAGAAACACATGTCTGTTTATCCACAAAACCAGTAGATTTTTTTTAACAATGCATTTTTTTATGCTCTTTATCGAATTATTTTCTTCTTAAAATTTATGTAACTATAGCAGATGCAAGAAAGTACTAAAAAAGTTCAAAAATTGTTTTTACATAAATGCATTTGTTTTACCATAGCCTTCTTGCATTGCACCTAACCATTGCACCTTCTTTGAACAATCCCCTGTTATGTCAAGCAGTAATGCTATGAAAATTGAGTTTCATATTCATTTATATTGTTTGTCTAACAAGATCATACAGTCTTCATACATCTGGATCAGCTTAGCTTCCTCTAAGAGTGTAATAAATCCATGCCAATTTCAAATTATTGTGTAAGCAAGATGAGATGATCTGTGTGATTAGCAGCATTGGGACGCGATGATTTTTTTTCTTTCAGAGGCTTAGTGCATTGTAATACATAAATTTAAAATGTGTGCAGTCCCGTTCATTTCTTTAGCATAAAAATTCATGTGACCCTACAACTTAAACATAATATTTGTAATATTAAAAGGGACATGAATAAGTTTCAACTGTGTCCCTCTTTTAATGTTACGTTAAAGAAAAACAATAAATAGTTTATTAAATTTGTTATGAGGTCTTGAATTTTATTTAAATATTTATATAACTGCAGTAGTAATAGCTGAAAATTTATATCACACCTTAAATTTCTGTATATATTGAGATTGGGGATTTTGGCCATTGTACCTTTATTTCATCTTATTATATATTATGATTCAATAGTCCCTAAATAATTAATTTTTGCAGTATTATTAAACATAATTGCTTTTCCAAGTAGATTATTTGGTACTTATTATGTGCTTATTGCTTACAAGAAAAGAAATACTTTCAGTGTGAGCATATTAGCTAGTTTGGAAAACAACCAGGGAACAAGGAAGATAGTGACAAATAAAATTCTACAGTAATATCAGTATTATTTTTATAGGAAATGTTATAAATACACATTAGACAGATACACATATGAATAGGGATTCAAAATATAAAACTGCTATATATGAAATATATATGTGAATCAAAAGTAAGTTGATTTAGTGAAATACTGTGCATTGCTATAGTAAATGTAAACCTAGGTTATAAAAGGTCTAAGGTGTATCATGTAAATAAAATTAATTAAATACTACTATTACTACTATTGACTTTAATTAAAATGTTCACTACATTTTTCCTGAACTCCAAGTTATACATATTACTGTATTTATCTTTGACCATTTCTTGGATCATTGAAAATACAGATTAAGTGTGTGTAATGGATTTTACTGTTTCTGCCCTACTTGCATTTCTTGTCCATCAATACTGGATTCTATTTTTGTAGCTGCTTTTTTAAAAATATTTTTAAAGTAATATTTAAGAATAAATTCCGTCCTGTTTATTTGAATTTATAATGAAATCAAAATAGGTAAGTTACTAATCTCAAATTTTTCTCTAAACTAAATATTATGTAAACAATAAATAATTTTTGAAGTTAGAAATGAATTAGCTTGCTGTATTTTAAGAACTTGGTCACACAGACATTGCCATTGTGTTATTGGATCATTATAATAATGTTAAACATATATTTCATCATAAATGCATTGTAGTTACTGTACATTAACATTTATTATGTTAAATAATATTTTAGCTGTCATGGACTGTAAGTTATGGGCAATAGAAAGGCAATGCTTCCAAACTATAATGATGCGAACAGGTCTTGTCAGACAAGCTGAATACACAGATTTCCTCAAAAGGTATTTCACTTTTTTTTTTTCCTTGTTGTGGTTATAATACTGTATAGTGAATAGATAAAACATGTTATAGTCATACAAACAGAAACATATAGTATACATATTTTGGATCTTCACCAGTTTGCATGACCTTTGAAAATGCTAGCTTACAGCAGTATAATGTACATTTATCAAGGTACCTATTGCAAAATAATTTGTAAAAGATGAAGTGTTTGAGGCAATGCCTTACCACCAAATTCCTTAGACACAGAACCTTTTGAACATCTTATGACAAATGTTGGAATAGCAAATATAATGTGATGGCTCAGACAGTTAATTAAAAAATATGTTAATAATGTACTGGTGTCAGATATTACTAGGTGCCTTGAATCTTAATAGTTCTGCATACTTTTGTGAAATAAAGCAGTTTTCTAAGAAAACTGATGGTTTAAATTGAGATGGTTGTAATGTTTTTGTTCTTTAGTATAAAAGCAATGTTTTTTTAAACACTGTATTTTTTCCCTGTAAATTGTACTAACATATTATTATTCTTTTGTAGTGTTCCAACATTCAGGAACTTAAATGATGAAGTTCTTATTAAAATTGCTGATGTTCTTGAAGAGGTATCTCCTTATCATTGTATAATTTTACAAACACTTCTTTCTTTAAATTCATCTCTTTATTAAACAATCTTTTTTATATTTTATATTACTTTGTCACTATGTTGACTAAAATCAGAGGTTATAGTTATTTTAAATAATTATGCATCAATGATCAAAACTTTTATAAATTTTATCAAAATTGATTTACCTCAATTAATAACATATTATTCCTAACCTCCAATTTATTATTTTGTTTTATATTATATTTTTCATTGTTTCATTGTTTTGAGTTGTAAATGCAATTTAAAGCCAGCTTATATAGTAATTATAGTGATTTAATTACAACTTAAATTTGTTTTAAAATATAGAAGAAATTTGCTGATATGCACTGAATATAAATATATATATTAATTTGTGTCAAAGGTAATTTTATGCATGTTGTGCTTTTAATGACGCTAAAACATATGTTTTTATTATGTGTCCAGAGCACAGTAATTAAATGTTTGACTTATTTTTTCAGACAACGTATAATGAAGGTGATTATATAATACGACAAGGTGCTCGGGGAGACACCTTCTTCATTATCAGTAAAGGAAAGGTATAATTGCTTTTTACATAATGAATATGTTTAATGCAATTACTATATTAATAATCTTCCAAATGGTAGATACTTTTCCCCCTTAAGCTTCAGTATAATTGCTTTCAACTTTACTTATAAATTTGTTTTAGGTAAGAGTAACTATGAAAACTGAACCAAATGATGAAGAGAAATTCATAAGATATTTACAAAGAGGAGACTTTTTTGGCGAGAAAGCATTACAAGGGTAAATATATACGTAGTTTATAAAAAATATTATTATGTATGTGCTATTTATTTCTAATAAAGACACATGTATAAGTATATATTTGTGCATATGTGTGTGCTAGGTATAGGTGAAATGCATTTAAATTTTTGCTAGGAAAACCTTTATTGCCAGTAGTGAGACCATTTCTACTACGAAATGAAGTGCGTAACCTTGATTTACAAGAGCAAACTCCCACAAGTTCCTAGTTGTTTAGTTTGCAGTGATTTGAATCAGTTTGTGTACTAATGACATATGATAAAAATGTAGCAATAAAATTTCAAATAATGTATATTTTGCATGGAATTAGGCGAAGACACAATTTAAACATACCCCCCCCCAAAAAAAAATGCAAGCATATGCAGAACTTGTGCTGATTATGTAAGTTTTGAGCTGAATTAAAGCATGTTCTAATATCCAGGAAAACACAGTTAATGATTTGCTCTATGAAGTTATTTGGCAGGTGCAGGTTGAAGCTAGGCCTGTACCTCTGAGGAATCACAGGTGTTTGAGATGTTGCTAAACCTATCTAACTGTTAAGCTTCCACTCAATTTTGAGGGAAAACAACCCAGGGGCAGTCTGAAGGTATTCTCCCTCTTTCCCTACCACTGATCTCTAGAGAAGACATTCAGCTTGCCATGTATTTTGAGTACCCCCTTGCCATATCTGCTTATAAACATCTATGCCTCCTCTGGGATCTGAACCCAGGCTCATCAGTATGGCAGTCAGAATCACTAACCACTATACCTGTTGGGTGACGAAGTTATTTGATAGCAAAAACAGAGAAGTGTTACTTTTTTTTTTTTTTTTCTACATAGTTTGGGCAAACAGATATTTCCTCATGGGAAGGCTGTATTTCCTGTTATACTGCATTATCTGTTGTTAAATTTTTGACCAAGTGACATTTTAGTGATTGCACAGCCTTTTCCTTTTTTAATCTGATCTCAGTTTGTAGGAAACCTGTACTTAGCTGTACTTGTCTTCCTTTTTATGGAATAAAATTTTGCTTAAGAGATTATCATTTTGTCAGTGTTGCAAAAGTAGAAGCTGTATCTCTAAGGCGAGATAATTACTTTAAAAATGCTAATATGAAATTGTCTCTTTCAAACACCTTTTTTTTACATATTTCATTACTTTTTTCTTTACCTTATACATGTACTTGTTTATAATTTTCTAAAGCTCATTCTTTAATGCAATTTTTCAAATTTTTCCTTAAATAAAGTTTTTAGAATGCTTATATTTTAGAAATATTCATGTTCTTCAAAGAATCTGTGCTTTCAGAGTTCAGTTTAATACTTTTAACATTAATAATTTGTATTTGTGTTGCTGGAAATTTTCATTTATTTTAAATCATATGGTTTAAATATTCTATTACTTTTTTGTCGTTATCCATTAATGTGTTTTATAGAATCCTTTATGAAGAAATTATGTTTTAAAGTATAAATAAAAAAAAAATTTAATGTTCTTTCCCATGCTTATTTTATGTTATGAACTTATTTATCCCATGCTTATTTTGTGTTATGTTTAATTTTTCTTTTTATCCTGGAAGGGAACATAGAAAGAGAGATTTCCTATTTGCTTTTTTTAAAACAGTGCAAAGACCAGGATCTGGGATTATCAGGGCTGCAGAAGTTCAGATTTTAGGTCATCAGTTTAAATCTAATTTGATGATATGTAGACATGGTAACATTAGGGCTTCACTTACTGTTTAGGTCAGGCAGAAAAATGCTAACCCTTCAGGGCCTGCGCCAGAGCTAGTGCAGCTGCGTTAGGCAGCAGAACTTACAGGAGCACCGAGTAGCAAAAATTGAGGATGGCAGAATTTTTAGAATTTAGAAAAGACGCTGAGTAGCAGAATTTAGGGACTACTGGCTACTAGAATATAAGGAGAGCAGAATTTTGGGAGTACTGGCCAGCTAAATTTAGAAACCTCAGCGATGAAACCCATGGCAAAATGCATTGCACAAGTTTTCCTCCCGCCACACAGCCAATCAAGGGAAAAGTTTAATCCTGGGCAGCATCAATATATCATCAAACAATGTATTTTTAGTGGCTCCATTCCTAAATTTGAAAGAAGAAGGGACTTTTGTTGTTGTTAATTAATTTTAGGCTAGTGGTCTGGAGGTCTAGTTATTGATTTGTTGTGTAGATTTCAGACTTTGCACTGTATATATTTGATGCTTTGTGTTCTTTATACAATAATAATTCTTTTGTTTCAAGCTTTTAATATCTGATTTTACAAATATTTTTGACATGTTTAATATTAAGAGAGAATTCAATCTTTGTTGAATTCCTCTAGTATAATTTATAAATCTCTTAATTATAATTTATCTGTTTTTAAAATTAGAATTTTTAATGCTTTTTTAATTTATTGTAGGGAAGATGTTAGGACAGCAAATATCATTGCAGACGATCCAGATGGCGTCATGTGTTTAGTCATTGATCGAGAGTAAGTGAGAAAAAACTTACTTTTAATTGACAATCAAGAAAAATTGATAATGCTATTGAAATAGCTTCATATGATGTATACAGTGCATAACAGTTAAGATGTTCACAATTTTAAAAAGTGATAAATCATGGCAAAAATAAAAATTATCATAAAACAATGTATGGTAAAGTATCAAATCTAAACCTCAGTAGGTACAAAGAACACAGCAAAAAGTAATTTTAATCACAGACATTTACAAGAGATAATCTGTGAATTCATCAGAATATTTCAAATGAACAACTACCATTTGAAATATATGCATGGCAATGCATATATTTCATGCATTGTGATTGTTGTATGCTTTGGAAGACACCTCATATATAACAAACATACTTCTATGATAGCAGTGCTAATTCAGGAGAGAAGATTTTCTGGAGAGTCAGTCAGCATCTTCAAAATCAGACTTTCCAGATGTAGGAGTAATTTGGAGATCTAAGAGAGCAAAGGATGTATACCATGCCAATCCATTATTTCAGGAATTGGGTATTTGAATAGTCTCTCACTTTCACTGTAATTAAGTATAGCAGTTGGTGTTTATTCATTTGAACTGTTTTTGTAAATATTAAGCAATATTTTAAATATCAATGATTGAAATGGCATTTTGTCCCCCCCCTTTTCTTTGTACTTACTCTGTTTCCACATTCACAATCCTCCATGCACTGTATTTCAAAAATTGTTACTTTTGCTATGGTTTATCACCTCGTGAAGCTGTGGCTATTCCTATTTCACCTGTTTAAAAATATTTCCATGCTGTGATAAACTTTCGAAATTTAATAGTAAGATGATACATTGAATGTAGTTGATTTTAAATACATTTGTTGTTTTTTGAGCCATATTTTTCAGGGTATATAATATAATATGATTTATAGTGGGGCTTATCATACATTCCCTAATTTCTATTTTGCCCTGCTGCTTCCCAGGTTGAATTTATTTCAATCTGAATTTATTTTCATTTGTAGAAAATGACGAAATGAATACCGGATAAAATTCAAATTTTAGACTGATATAAAATGAAATTTAGTAGCAATAATCAGTAAAGTATTTTATATGGTCTCAGTATTAATTGCTTGGTTATGTAAAAGCATATTTTGATGGCTTGTGCAGTGTGTATTCAATGCTATTTTTTTTCTTTAGGTTTCTTTTAACCCCTTTTCTTTCTCTGATAGTTACTTGATGTTTTTTCCTCCCTTGTACTACGGCTGACTGCTGGCTTTCATCACATTTTTTGATTTCCTGGTTTTTAATTTTTAGCCTTTATTAAGAAAATCTACTAAAAATATATCCTAGCCATAAATGACATTTAGTGAATTTAGTGAAATTTAAATTCTGTAATTCTATTCCCCCACCACTAGTGATTTTCAGTATAATTTTCTTAATAAATTTTATTTTATTTCAATTGTCATAATCTATTTGTAGACATTAGTTGAATGCTTTCTTCAGTCTGAGCTTTTTAAGATTCAAACAATATTTAATTCTGTTTTACATCAATAAATGATATATTATTAAATTTATCAGCATATTATTAGTTATTAATTTTATTTAATTTTTTTGTATTAAAATCTTTGATAAATAAAAATGTATGAAAATATAATAAATAAAAATATACGAAATATGATACAAAAAATATGATTATATACAATTATATGATAAATAAAAAGTATTATATATACGATTATATGATAATAATGACTATTTTTATTTTTCATATGTATGATTATATGATAAATAAAAATATATGAAATGCTTTGTATAAGAAAAATATACAAAATCTTAAAATGAAATTTAGGATATCGAATTAAATATTAATATATACTGGTGTGCAAAACTTAAGCAACAGGTGTTCTTTTTGGCATAAATTCACGAGATATCATCTGAGAGACATGAAATTCAGAAATAAGAGACAGCATTTTGTATTTAAACTATGACGAAAGCATAATTGCGCAAAAATGAATACAATGCATACAGTATGGAATTAAACAAAAACAGGCTTTATTGAACTCATAGTATCGTTACACATGATTGTCTGTATATGAGGAAGAACAACAAGCAGATGCTTTTTAGTATGGGATATGCCCTTCCCTTACTGCAATGGTTGCTTCTCACCGTCTCCCCATACTCAGCACTGGATTGTCCAACAGATCTTGAGATGAAAGTGCCCATTCCTCAATCAGCTTCTGTTTCAGTTGTTGGGTGTTCGCCAGAGGATGTAATCGTGCCTCAAGGCATCTCCCCAAAGCATCCCACACATGTTCTATGGGATTTAAATCAGGGGAGTATGCTGGCCAATCCATTCGAGTGATATCTTCACTTTTCAGTAGCTTCTGAACAGCAGGAGTCCGGTGTGGCCGTGCATTGTCATTCATAAAAATGAAGTCTGCTCCAATGGCACCTCGGAACAGATGCACATGGAGGAAGGATCACCTCCTGACAATAGTGATCTCTGGTTACAGAACTGTCGAAAACGTGGAGTTGTGTCCGCCCGTTCAGCATAATGCCTCTCCAGACGAGATCTCCAGGACACCGTAATGGTCTCTTTCCGTGATTTTACTGAGATTAAACCGTGTCCTTACCTCTCTCCAAATAAGTTCACGTTTAGAATCGCTTGGGGCACTAAAACGACTGTCATCGGTAAGAAGGAGACGACTCCATTGATGAGATGCCTAGTTTTTGCACTCCTTGCACCACTCTAAACGGTGGCGCCGATCGAAGTCCAACTTTCAAAGGGATGGCATCGTTCAGGACGGCGGGCGAATAGGTCATCTTTGTGAAGGTATCTGGACACAGTAAACCACGACAATTGTCACCGGTTGCTGTACACAGTTGCTGAGTTGTGGAGCTTACGGACTGGTTTTGGGCTCTTTTCGCCTGTAGGACGATATATCGGTTATCTGCTGCAGTTGTTGTACTGGAGCGGCCACCACCAACCTTTCTAATAGCTGTACTTATGGTTTGGAAGGCTTTTCAAGTTGAAACGACACTTTTGTTGACTTGACAAATCTTCAGCCATTTTGGTCACACTACGCCCTTCCTCCAGCTTTCCGATCATTCTTCCACTCGTGAAGTCATCCAAATGATTTCTTCTAGCCATATTTCATGAAAGATTTCACTTGTACTTACAACGAATGTCTTTAATTGCGTCTCCATCCTTCCTTTTATGGTAGTCTCGAGTGGAGCGCATGCATTTTGCGTGCGATCACGTAGCCTGTGACTTTTTTTCCTGACATTTGCATATGCATGACCTTTCTACTCAACTGCATGTTCATTGTACCGATAGGCAAGAACCCTTTTCTGCAACTGCATGGTTATCTGATTAAAATTTGCATTGTTGCTTAAATTTTGCACACCAATGTATTTTGTGTCAGAATCATACTGTAAATAGTTTAGGAGTCTTTCAAAAAAAAAAGTGGATTTAAGCCAGCTTTGGGTTTCTTTGAAATCTGTTACCACATATCACAAAATCCTCAAAACTCCAGGTTTTTCACATGAAAACCTCCCTGTTATTCAAATTTTAAGATTTTCAGCTGTGTTGTATTTACACTTCTTTATGATTATTTTCTGTGTTTATATTCTATATCTTTTTAAATATTTTTTTCTGAATTTGCAGTTCCTCTTTTTATTTTCCATCAGGTCATTTAACCAGTTGATAAGTAATATCAATGAAATCAAGGAGAAGAACTATGACGAAACTATGCCTGTTAAGAGAAGGTACTATTTATTAATATTTTCTTATAATATTTACATATAATATAATAATATAGGTGTGTGGTGTGTGTTGTGTGTATTATATTGCATTTATCTTATTTTGTTACATCAATAAATTTAAAATTGATTTATTATTAAACTGGTTTTTATTAATATTAATTTTTATGGTTATAATTATCTAATATGCATTTACATTTATTCATTAACATGTATTTATATGTATTTATTATACACAACAGTTATGTGCATAACATACTTATTAATATTTTTATATCTTTTTAAGTTATATTGTTAACTATCACTTAAGTTTAATATATATTTTATATTCTTTAATGCTTTCATAAGCAGATATTTAAACCAGGTATGAAATAATTTTTGGATATTTTATTATGCATTACATTTTTAAGTTGATTTTATATTGCATTAATTATATATAAGTGCTAACTTTAGTAACTTTCATTATTAGGGTTGACGAAGAATTTACGAAATTGAAGCTTACAGATTTACGTGTAATAACTACATTGGGTGTTGGTGGATTTGGAAGAGTTGAATTAGTATGTTTCTCTCATTTAATTTATGCATAAAATAAGTGATAACTTAATTTCTTTTTCTGAATCTAAGTCATAGCCAAAGTTAAATTCAATATTTAAATTTACTAGTCAAAATTCTAAATTGAGTTTTAAATATAGATAGATTTTGTTGCATTTGTAAACTGTGGAAGTGTGTTTCTGCTGTTCAGTTTGGTGATGTTTGCATGAAACCCAGTAATACATTTTAAATAGATTCTCATATTATAATTCAATTGTGAGGACTATATGTAAATTTTTATTAGTACTAGGAAAACTGAAAGAGAAAATGAATGAATTCTAGCTCCCATTATCTTTATTCTAAAAGTTTCTTTTCTTAAAAGTTTCATTAAATTTCAAGCTTCTTTTTGAGACCTTCAGAGTGGATTATAATTAAGGAGATCTAAATTTAGAATTATACTTTTGTATATTGTTTATAGAGCTGCAAGACATTTGTGTGTTTTTATAACTGATTTTAGAGTTCATATTTTAAAGTATGTGATCGCCGTACATAAAGTATTAAGAAATTGGGAAGCATCTTAAGTAATCAGTTATTGAAGTACTTGTTATTTCAGTAAGGTTAAAATTTAGTTTCAGAACAGTGCTTAAACTCGTTGGCTTTTTTGTAAATTGAATAATTGTAAATACTTCATATACAATAGAATGCAAGTGAACAGCATTGTTCATGAAATATTATCAACAGTTATAGAATTAGTTTCTCTTTTTATGTTTTTTATCAGAAATATACTGCACTAATACTTGTTATTTAATAAAACAGGCTGACCAATGGCTGAGTGGGTATGACTGCTAAGCATTAATAATTAGTAGTAGTGACTGCTAAACATTAGCATTGTAGTTTTAAATGCATTCAAATCTTTGTAAATGGCTGGCTACATAAACATTTTCATTATTTTTCACTTGTGTAAAGGAATTTGTGTCATTTTCCTAGAATGTTCACTACAGAGACCTTAAGCAAATAGCCCTTGCATACTTTGTCGTAATCAAATACATCCAGATCTTTAAAAAAAAAAAAAAAAAAAAAAGTTGAGACTCATTGAAAACTCCATGCATAATTGAACAAAAAATATTTGATAAAAGAATGCATACAAAGAATATTTTTGTCATTGAAATATATAACACATTAATCTATTTTCAGGTTCAAATTGCAAATGATCCTTCAAGATCTTTTGCATTAAAAGTAATGAAGAAAGCTCAGATAGTTGAAACTAGACAGCAACAGCATATTATGTCTGAGAAAACGATAATGGAAGAAGTTGACTGTGATTTTATTGTCAAGTAAATGTGATAAAATTCATTACATATTTTTGCATTTTTTATAATTATTCTAAAATTTGTTTTTTCACTTCATAAAGTATTTTTCCCTTTTATTGTTTTAAAGTTTCTTCCATAATTTTAATGTATAAAGAACTAAATATATATGCTTTTAAATTTGTGTAATTAACCTGATAGTTTTTATGTAGTATTTAATTTGCCATAACATGTTCTCAAACATCAAATTATTTTTAATAGGTTATATCGTACTTTTAAAGACAGGAAATACTTGTATATGCTTATGGAAAGTTGTTTAGGAGGAGAATTGTGGACAATCCTTAGAGATAGGTTGGTATATTTGTAGACATTAAACTCTCCTTAAAATGCACAATAAAACAAATTCAGTAACTCTATTTATAAACCTAACTAGAACTGCAGTCACTTGTATAGTTTATAAATTGAATATGAATGTTCTTTCCAACTGTTTTATTATTATTATTGTTGCTGGAATTGCAATAAAAAGGTTTACACTAGTTATGCTACTCTGTGTATGTCATCAGTCTTAAGACTGTATCTTAAAGGATGGGAGAAAAGATGGATATTAAAAACTCCTCCCACCATTACTATCAACCACGGCCTTTTGAAAATGTTCTAAAACTAAATTTTAAAAAAGGATTTGAAAGATAAAAAAGTTAACCAGAAATCTGTCTTTTTAGAAGTAATTTAAAAATAAAAATAAAAGGGACTTGCATTTAATCATTCTCAAAATTAAGTTTTTTTTTTTTTTTATCTGAAAAAATTTAAGATTTTTCCCCCCCCCCTAAATCTTACATTGGCAAGTTTTGCTTCCATTTAGAAGAAGTTATTTTTATAAATATTTTATTTACTTCACTCATGGTTTTTGTTGCTCATGAGTTTGTCATCAATTTAATTTTTAAACTCCTTTTTGATAAGCTTTCAAGTTCAAAATATGTACAATGGAATGATTGGAATTTTTATTTACTGGAATTTAATTTTGGAATGATTTTTTGCACATATCTTTGTTTATTGAAAAAAACTAAAGCTCTCAGAATTTTACTGTTTTCACAATGGGATAGAGTTAGAAAATAATCTTTTAAATAAAGTTTATATGAAACTTTTAATATGTTATTTTTTGGCAACTTTTCCGAAATTGCTCAATTTTTTTCAACCATTTGACGTAATGCAGTAAGTGGAACTAAAAGACTGATTCTTCATTGCTGAAAAACCATTTTCCAATTCAATAATTGAATTGACAATATGTTATTGAGACTAAAAAGATAAAAATAAAATAAAATGTTTTCAGAAAATAAGCTTTTAAAATTGTAAAATAATTAATGAATTTAAAAGAAGAAAAAATTTACTATACAGTTTGCTGGGAGTAAAAGATTAAACAATTCTCTTTGCAAAATTCTTCTACAATTTTGTATCATAATTAATAAAATTATGTGTTGTCAAAAGTATAAGGCACAGTCTTTATGAATGTATAAAAGGCTCTCCACACTTTTATTATGTATGATATAAAATTGTAGATAAAAATTCTGTACAGAGAATTTAATCTCTTGTTCAAATTAAACTATATGATAAATTATTTTTCTTCTTTGAGTTCATTAATTATTTTATGAGTTTTAATAAAAAGCTTATTTTATAAGTCTTTTTTACCTCATTTTTATAATATATTATGTAGTATGGATAATATTGGACACGTACAAAAATTGTTATTTTAGACAATATGGATAATACTATACAAAGAACTAAGGCTTATAATACATTGTGTGGTGTTGTTTTAATTTTGATCTTGATTTTAATAAAAATGAAAATAAAAAAAGAGATCTCATTATAGTTTCTTAGCTTGCCTATCATTATGTATTAGCAAAAATATATTTAAATAAATTTTAGACAATTTGTAGTCATAGATAATAAATAACAAATTTTTTTAACATGACTCATCAATACCACATTAGCTCAGTTTTATTTCTCATTGTTGTGAATGGAATTTTCTGCAGTACTTATATAGAGGTTCACAAACTTCCCAATCAGTTATCCACAAATAACATGACATTTCTTCATCAATAAATATGGACAGAAAGTTTAAATGAGTATTTTTATTATGTGCAGGTTTATATTTCATATTGTATTTATTTAAAACCTTTATTCTTTTTATTCTAAATATATATATATATTTTAATCTTTTGGTCTAAATGTGATGACAATCGCACTTTATTATACAAAATGTCCGGTTTTAGATTACGAATTTATTTTTTATTTATTTTTATTCTTTGTTGCTTGATTGATTCATTCTGTCTATTGGATCTTTGCAAATAAGGGAAAACAAAACTAACCATTAACAGCAGGATGGATAATCAAATTTCAATTGTATCTTATTTGATATTACTGCTTTTTGTCAAATTTTAATATTAAATTTATATTTGCATCCATAAAATTCAAAATCAAAATCTGTTCTAGTTTCCCCTTAAAATAGCAAAATATATTTTGGTGTTTTGGTAGAATATCTGTATGCATATCTTTCCTAATTATTTAATCGTGTTATTAAATAGCTAAATTAATAGTTAAAAATCTTTTATTTAATGAAAATTTCAGTTTCATTAATTTAAAAGAAAAGTAAAATTGTGAGAGTCCTTCATGGCTGTAAGGGACATCTTTTCTTGCATTAAAATATGAGGATGTACTTTAATAGTAATGCTTTTTTTTTTAACTTAACTAATTTCTTTTCTTTCTACTGATTCAGAGTTGATTTTTTAAAGTTTTTATGTTGATTATAATTATTTGCCTTTTTTAATAAATATTTCTCTTTATCTTCCATTAGAAGGTTTCCCCCCATCTAAAATTTCATTTTACCTGATGTATATTCTGATTTTTGATTATTAATTGTTTATAATATATTATTTATTTACTGAGGTATGTTTTGTATTTTCAGGGGGAATTTTGATGACAATACAACACGATTTTACACTGCTTGTGTTGTGGAAGCATTTGCATATTTACATGCAAGAAATATAATATACAGGGATTTAAAACCAGAAAATATGATTCTAGATACACAAGGATATGTAAAATTAGTAAGTGCAACTTTGAAAAATTTTCCAACAATTTTCATTTTGTGGTAACATATTAGCATGACTACATGAACATATGTACACAGGGTGGTTCAAAACTATATGTCAAAAATGTAAAGGCAGGTAGATGGGAATTAAATAAGCAGATTTTGTATGGGGAAAGTGTGTGTGGTAATGCTGCATTGAGTCCGTATAGAGTGCTGATAAGTACAGCATATAAAAGTGCTGTACTAGCTGGATTCTTCATTTTCCGCACTGATCACGAGCAGCATGCATCATTACACCAATGTAGAGCTTGACGACATGCATTTCATGTAGGGGGCTGCACAAGTAAATGAATTAACTGCTGAAAGAATGTACAAGGAGCAATTTTACAAGGAGATCTTTCCTAAACCAGCTGTTCACAGACGAATGCGGTTCCAGCACGATGGAGCTCCAGCTCACTTAAGCAGAATGTCAGGAATCCCCTGGACACTGTCTACAACCAGCACTGCATAGCACAGGGAGGGTCAGTTCCCTGGCCACCACGTTCTCCTGATTTAACCTGCTTGGATTTCTTCTTTTTTTTTGGGTCATATTAAAGGCCTCGTGTACGGGAGTCCTGTCACATCTGCGGAAGATCTTGTTTCCTGCTTGTCTGTTGCTGCTAGACATGGGTTCAACATGCCTGACGTCTTTTCTTGAATCTTGTATCACTCCTGGTGGCTGCTGCTCTTTCAAGCACCTATTATAAACTGTTAATTTTTTTTCTTTTTACTTGTCTTTTCAGTTTCCTGTGATTCATACTGCGCAAAAATTTGAAAATGGCTGCAATAATCTGAAAATGCTACTGTAAAAAATTAATTGTATTACAAGTGAAGAAAGTGTAAATATGTTTATTAATAAAATATGTATTTTTTTAAAAAATATACCTTAGCTGCCCTGCGCAGAAAATATATTTTTTTGTTCTAGACAAAAGATATCTCGCTCATTCTTTAATGGTGAATTCAGAGGTGGATTTTGGGAGTTGCATAAGATGCGATCAGAAAGGACCCACTTCCTCTCCTTCATTTTCTAGAAGTCTCTAAATCATTAATTAATTTTTAAAAAACAAAGCAAATACCCTATGTCTTAAGATGAACAAGCATTAAAAATTCAGATGAGATCCCCTCCTCACTTCATGTATTAGTATCACATACTCATATATTCTCTTCATTTCATGACGTTGACATCCTGGCAAGCCTATCACCCTGGGCAGCCCTCATATAACCTGCCATTTATCTATTCTTGTTGCCATATAGGCTCTTTTGCTATTTAAGAGAAGCAGAATGTAGGTAATTGAATTTTGAAGGCTCCATATATATAAATTCACATTATCAGGTTTTTTTTTTTTTTTTTTTTTTTTTTTTTTAAGTCACTTCATCAGTTTTGTACAGTTTATGGAAATTGTATAGTAATTTTGCTGTGTTAACAAAAAACAAAAAAAAAAAAAAAAAAAAAGAAGAAGAAGAAAAAGGAAGGAATTTAGAATTTAAAAGTGTCTGTTTGTTCTCTTATTATTAACTGCAAATGACTTGAGATCATTTCAAATTACAAATAAAGATAATTTGTGTTATGTAATAATTAAATATGAGTCCTGTGATTTTATTTCAATATGAAAATATCTATATCATTTGTATTTTTGTTCTTATGTCATTTCAAATTCTTATTTTGTTTGAAATGTGTACCAAGCTTAAGTAATAAATGGTCTGGAACTAAAACAATGTAGCACTGAGTTTGATATAATGGTGTACTTACTAGTGAGAACTTTTTTTTTTTCATTAAACTTATAAAATACTAAATGTCTTTGTGTATTGATAATTTTATCCAAAATAAAATTGCCTTTTTGCAATTTTTAACAACAGTAATACTCAAATATGTAACTTTTTGCAGGTGGATTTTGGTTTTGCAAAAAAATTACAACATGGTCGTAAAACATGGACATTCTGTGGAACTCCTGAATATGTAGCTCCTGAAATTATTTTAAATAGAGGGCATGACATTTCAGCTGATTACTGGTCTTTAGGTGTTCTAATGTTTGAACTGCTTACTGGAACGTGAGTTTTTAATGCTTTATGTTATATGAAATGTTTTAGTTTTTGACCATTTTTAATAGTTCATGTTACACTGAGAGAAAGATTGACAGTTTTATCACCAATTAGCATTGCTTGCATTTTGTATATTACAAGGAACTATTGGTCTTCTCTGGTTATGTGTATCTCCTTACCAAAAAATCACAAACTACTGGTGACTATTTTTTTGCCAAACTAGAGCTAAAAAGACAACAGCTATTTTAAAATTTAGTTGGTCTCTAAGAATTAGATAAAACAGCATCCAACTAATAAAATTATAAAAGCAAGAAACACTAACCTCTTATTTTTTGGTGTTGTTCATTTACATAGCAATCTGTTGCAGCTTTAAAAAATCATAGAATTGAAAAAAATTCATCATCATACACAACTTGGCATTGAGCACACTATTCCCAGTACACAATGATCTGTTTTCGCTTTAAAAATATCGGAACAGATTTTGATTCATTAAATTCAATTATTTACAAAGTGCAACTTCATGGAATGTGAGTTTTTGAATTCTGTGTTGTTAGGCCAAATGCCATAAATCTGAGGAAAAGCAATACTTTCTTTTACATTAGCCAGCAGATGCCACAGCCTTATAACAATATTTTACCAAAAAAAAAAAAAAAAAAAAAAAAAAAGCAGTCAATGCAACAAAAACAAACGCTAATGACTGTCAAGTTTGAAGATGGAAATGTGCCCCTTCATGGTGAAAATTTCCACTTATCTGCTGCACTGGCACATGCCTGGCTGCTGATATCATGGGTTGCCTGTTTTGCTTTGTGAATACTTTTTTTGAAGAGAGGATAATCAGAAAATATTGGACTATTTTGAGTGGTTTAATGTTCTGCCATTTCCATGTTCCATGGTTTGTTCCTTGTGCACTTTATTTTTTTTCCAGGTGGGCTTTGGTTACCTCCTTTATATTATAGCTCTTGTTATTTAAATGATGGTACAAGGTATATTGTTAATGGACTATGCCTTACTAGCAACACTACTGAGAGCCCTTCTCCTGACAGGCAAATTATAAAAGACTATGATTAGGACTGCTGGTCATTTGGCAATGCTTTGGGCTTTAGTTGCTTAGGGTTGTTGCTTTAGTGCAGCCCATTAGCAAGATGGCTTTTGTCACTGTTTAATTAACAGATACTCTAATAATAAAGAGTTAATACACTTGTTTAAGTCTTTTAATGCAATCAGCTTACTTATTAATGAAAATGTGCTGTTGACTGATTAGTCTGCCATAGGTTTTGCATGGTGTGAAAGTAGTAGGTATGAAAGTAGTAGGTAGGAGAATGAGGTAGTCTCTCCTCCCCCTCCTAAAAAAAAGATAGAAGCAGTCCATTTTTGACACTTTCAATAAAGAAAAGTAAGTGGTTTGCAATGTATCATGGTGCTACAAAATATAGCATCTTCTGAAGAGCTATAACTGCCTTCCACTGACCTGCAAACACACATGAACACAACATCTCTTATTATCAAAGGTATTCTGATATACAAGGTTATTTATAATTCTATCTGAGGTTTCGAAATGCTATAATTAAAAAAGGTAAGATGATACAGCAAAAACAAACCTTGCACTAAATGCAGTAACAATACAATTTTTTTATAATAGCATTTGGCATTAGATGATGGCACACACCTGACTGAAAGCAGTAAGTGAATCAAAATGGTATTCATGGGTGAATAAAAAGCTTGTATGTTACAATTAGCTAAATTGGAATCAGTGGTGCAGTGGGCATTTCATATGAAATAGGGACTCACTGACAAGCCAGTTCATGTATGGTACAACAAGTTTAAAGAAACTAGATGCTTGTGTGATAAGCAATAAACTGATTATCTGGATCCATCTTCAAGAACCATAGGTGATGTACATGAAATGTTTTAGAGGAACAAAATCAACCATTCGTGCAAGCCATGAATTGAGGATTTTACAACCAACAATGTGGCGAATGCTATGCAAAACTCTGCATATGAAGCCATACTGGTTGCAAATGGTGCAAATGGCTGACTTTCAGGGGATTGCATTTCTTGTGTGAACTTTTACATTGATGTCCAAGCTGAGGATTCACTGCTACAGAAAATGATTTTTGGTGATGAATCCACCTTTCCATTGCCCAGCAAGGTAAAACACCACAACTTACACATTTGGGACATGGAAAATTCTCATGCAATAGTGGAACTTTGTCATGATTCTATAAAAGTTAATGTATTCTGTGATGTCTCTTCCTCACGTGTGTAAGTGTCATTTTTTCTCACAGAGCAGACTGTGTACATGGATATGCTATAGTTGTGGTTAATGCTGCAACTGCATGAATATGAGGATGACAACTTTGTTTTTCAACAAGATGCAGCTCCACTCTAGTTTCTGCAGGATGTACATGAATACCTTAGCACACAATTACTTCATTATTGGATTGGGCGAGCTTACAAAGATGACATATCTCTTTGCCATGACCCCCATTCTCAGTGCTCCTTTAACACTGTGTGACTTTATTTATTTATTTATTTATTTTTTATGGAACTATGTAAAGACCTTCTTTTCTTACCCTCTTTGCCACATAACTGCTTAAAAGGATCACATATAAATACCATTAATAGTACCATGTTGAATAGGGTCTGAGAGGAACTGGACTATGACTTTGATGTATGTCATGTGACCAAGGGATCACAGATAGAACACCCGTAAGAGCTGTAAATAAAACTTGAATTGTTTCTGTATTTAGTGCAATGTTCGTTTTTGCTGTATTCAGTTATTTTACTATAGCCTTCTGAAACCCGGAGGGAATTATGAACAACTCGATATATCTATATCATGTTTTTCATGTAAGTTCACTTCTTTTGTCTCTAACTCTATTGAAAAGAAATTTAGAACCAATTCTGTGAGAAGGGCAAATGTAAAATTTACTAATGAATCCAATATTCTAATATTATATTGAGTATTGTATCAATAATGTTTTCTTTGCACATTGCTACTTCACACTTAGTATAAGAAAAATATCTTGTTAAGCTATATAATTCAAATCTAGAAATTCTTATTGAGTTAAAATGTATAACAATAAACTTTAAAAAGGATATAAGAAAAGAAAAAATTTCAGAATGTATTCTCAGTGCACCTAGTATCCTGTTCTAACTAGTCACTCATAGGGAATAGCAGGGAGAACAGCAATTAGATAACATTTGGCTGTTACAACTACTTTGTGTTCCGGATAAAGCAGCAATGACTTCTTGGAAATATAAAGACATAGTCTTTCATTCTTTATTAACATATCTTGATATTTAATCTGTAGCATCAATAGTGATGTATTCTTTGCAATGCAAAATCTCTGAAAGAGTCATGAATCGAAACTTAAGAAATCCTATTTTAATAATAGCTCAGCAATGATTAAAAGGACATGGAATACTAGTTTATACATGAAATCTGGTTATTGAAAGTAATCAGCTGTCTAGGCTCATAATGTTTTCTTCATTTGTTTTTTACAAGTGAATTCCCATAAAAACTTCTTTGCAAAAGCTTTTTTTGATTTCTGAAATATCCTAAATCTTGTGACTGGAGTTGAATGCCAGGGATGTCTTTTTATCAGAAATGCATTCATGAAGGATTTTTTTTTGGGGGGGGATATAGCTCACATTCATATTACTCATTAGGAAAACTGCATGCTGCTAATTCATTCATTTACCAATGAAGAATTGCGAGCACTCAATGGTATTATTCATTCAACCTCTACTAAGATAATACTAAGTCATTAAACTATAAATGACAAAGTTGCATGTATTTGAATTATCACTGGTTTCAACTGATATTGTTGAAGTGCTTTTCTGATACATTTGCAGATGAAAATTGGTTTTCATGTCATCTAGTTTTTCATATTTAGTTTAGGCAGATGATCTTTAGTCAGTATATAAAATTTCTGAAAACAGAGTATTGAAGGAAAGTTTATGATAATAATTGTGTAAATTCCATAAAATATGTAATTTTTTAATTAGAATTTTCTTTAGAGAACAATTCTGAAAATATTCTCCCCCCCTCAAGGTAATTTTGGCATTATCGAAACAACATGTAGCAGAGTCATTTAAATATTTTACATTCCTTGAATTCTGTTACATAACCAAGGAACTTATTATTCACATGGCCTGCAAGTATTGCCATTCAAAAATTTATAAACCTAAAATTCTTCCGCCAGACCCATTAGCAATATTTTGAGAAATGGCTATTCTCCTGGTTACAAGATAGTTAAATTAAAACCTTTATAAATTTTCGAATGGCAATACTTGCAGGCCATGTGAATAATAAGTTAATATAAAACTGCAATTGCATAATAAACTGGATGATTTAAAAACAATAAATGTACTTAATGTTAAATTTTCTTTGTTTTAAATAATTAATCTAATTTATATAATTTATATTACATTTGATTGATATAAATTTTTATATAACCATCTGATAATTTTTTTAGCATGTGTCTCATTATTGAGCAAATGATAAAAGGTGCTTTTAGTGCCATAAATTGCTTACTTAGCACAGACTAATAACTTGGTATTTATATACAGTACAAAGTCTGTAATCCGGACTCGTTGAGACTTTAGCGATTCCGGATTAGGGGTTTTTCCGGATTATAGATCATCAATTTAAATCTGGTAAGATGGCATGAAGAAATTATACAATTAAAAATATGGAACCGTAATTTATGAAATAAAGAGCAATTATTATCTAAAGGATATCAAAATTTTCCAAAAAAAGGTTTAATATTTATTTGTTTACTTTATTAAACATTTCTTTCAATGTAAGTTGTTTAAGTTGCTTCATTTTTTGTGCTAATACTTTCTCTTTAATTTTATAAACAGACATAATTTCTTGTTCAGTTACAAAATTCCACTATTCAAGTCCTGTAATTGCTGTGTCGAGAATACCGACTAACTTGTCAATCGAAATTTTTTCGTTCTCAGTAACTTCTCTCTTTCACTTTCTTCCCTGTCGGAAGTGCGCATGGGTAAATGCTTTATGCGTATGCGTAGCGGACGCGTGCATTAAATGCGCATGCGTAAGTTTGGGGCTTTGAGGTCCGGATTATAGATCATTCCGGATAATGGACGTCCGGATTACAGACTTTGTACTGTATTTCATTTTTCAGTTTAGTTTTATGGAATGCAATTTAAAAGAAGTAGAGTAATTAATATTTGAAAAGTAGATGCAAAGTATTTTATTGAATTTATATTTGTATATAGATTAATGTCAGAACCGGATTTAGACTTGATAAGGCCCTAAGCTATTTGAGATATGGTGTCCTTTATAAGTCTGTTATACTATATATTAATTTTTGGGGCCCTAAGCTATATCTTGTGTAGCTTATACATAAATCCTGCACTGATTGATATTGTTGATGATGTAAATATATGTCTAGAAAATAATAATAATGGAAAATAGAATGCACAAGAAAAAACAGATTATTTGTAAAAACGATTTTTCTCCTGTCTGACCAAGATTCCATCATGTCACTTTCAAACACTTGTTGTTTCAAAGAGTTGTACCATGGCTAATGACTTTACATTCACTGACATTGATTAGAAATTTCAGAATATCAATTGTAGGGCTTGACGCATTACATATGACTATTACAAGGCATAAACATTAGCACAAAAACACAAAACAGTTTAAACAATTTAATTTTAAAGTAATGTAAAGCAAATAAATATTGAGCTCTTTTTGTAAGTTTTGATTCCCTGAACGCCATAAATGTTTCATTATTTTATAAATAACTATTCATATTTTTGATTTTATAATTTCTACCTGTCATCTTACTGGATTTAAACTGATGATCTAAAATCAGAAATTTCCGAAATCGGTAATCACCAGAGTCCTGACAATTCTGAACCTTGGTCTTATTGTGCAGATGATTAATTTGAATTTTTTTTATGAATCCCATACTCTATTTGAAATGTACACTATTCAAAAAGGTTTCTGGTATGTTGCAAAAGTGACAAAAATGTCACATTGATAGTAGCAATAATAACTTAATGTTCAAGAAGCAATGGCTGTTGCTATAAGAAAAGCAGGAATTGTAGCCTTTAGGCCAGCAGTTGAAGACATTAATTAAACTAGGGAAATGCACAAATGTTGAAGTACTTAAAAATAAATTAATGGAAGGCACATGGTTAAAAAGCAAATGTGTACAACATCAAGGCAATGAAGCAAAAGCTTACCTGAAAGTGTTCACTTCGGAATTTTTTTTATAAATCTTGTAAATTATTATTATTATTATTATTCAGGTCTAAATAGTAAAAAAATTCATTCATTCAGCATATATTTATTAAAATAAGATATTTTAAAGCAATCATTTTAATAGCTTTTTCAAAATGTATTTAATCTTTCTCTTTTATTTAGGCCACCATTCACAGGACCTGATCCAATGAAAACATATAATATCATTTTAAAAGGCATTGATGCCATTGAATTTCCTAGAATAATTTCAAGAAATGCAATGGCACTCATCAAGAAATTATGCAGGTATATAATTTTTGATATGCTTCTTTATTGTGAAGATGTTTTATATTTTAAAATGCAGGTGTGGTAATACGAGGGCCATCCAGGAAGTAGATTACGTTTCCGTCTGTGTCCGCTAGGGGCGGGGCTAGCACGGCCATCTTGGGGTCAGAGCGTTGCGCAGCTCAGTCTGCATCTAGCCGTGCTAGTGAGAGGTTCGTGCTGTGCTCCGTTCAGATACTGTGACGGTTTGAAATGTCTGCGTTAATTGAAAATCCCGCGAGCTGCGAGGTGCGCTCAGTAATAAGGTTTCTGACTGCAAAAAACTGTAAACCGATAGAAATCTATCGGCAGCTTCGTGAAGTGTATGGGGACAACATTATCACTGAAGGTGGAGTGCGTCAGTGGGTCATAAGATTTCAAAATGGCCGAACCAATGTTCACGACGAAGATCGAAGTGGGAGACCCAGCATAGTGACCGCCGAACTTCTCGAAAAAGTCGATGCTAAAGTCCGTGAAAATCGAAATTTCACAATAACGGAACTTTCTTTGAGTTTTCCACAAATTTCGCGAAGTTTGTTGCACGAAATCATCAGCGAAAAGCTTGGTTACCACAAGTTTTGTGCAAGATGGATTCCAAAAATCTTGACAGAGGACCACAAAAATCAGCGAATGGCTGCAGCGTTGAACTTTTTGGACGCTTACCATAAGGATGGTGACTCTTTACTCGATCGCATCGTTACTGGTGACGAAACATGGGTGAAACATGTGAACTGTGAAACGAAATTGCAATCAATGCAGTGGGGGCACACAAGTTCTCCCCAAAAACCCAAGAAATGCATGCAAACAATGTCGGCAAGGAAGATGATGGCGACTGTTTTTTGGGACAGAAAAGGTGTAATTTTGGTGGACTTCCTGGAAAGAGGCACTACAATAAACTCTCAAAGGTATTGCCAAACTCTCCAAAAACTCAGAAGAGCAATTCAAAACAAGCGCAGAGGAATGTTGAGCTCTAAGATCTTGTTGATTCACGACAACGCCCGGCCCCACACGGCAAATGTCACTCGTAAAGTTCTTGAATCTTTTAAGTGGGAGTTGTTTCCTCATCCGCCGTACAGTCCCCGACCTGGCACCGAGCGACTTCCACCTATTCCCAGCAATGAAGAAGTGGCTGGCTATGCAGCGTTTTGATGACGACGCACAGCTGCAAGAAGAGGTAACGAAGTGGTTGAAGGCGCAGGCGGCCGAATTTTTCGACGAAGGAATTTCCAAGCTCGTACATCGCTACGATAAATGCCTTAATTTGTATGGTGACTATGTAGAAAAGTAGTATTTGAGTGTGGCTTTCATCTGTATATAATAAAATTTGTTTCCTATACTTTGTTTATTTTTTTATTCCAAAACGTAATCTACTTTCTGGATAGCCCTCGTAACTGCATATATAGGCTGGTCATTAAAAAAAGAAAACTTCCTGGATATATGAAGCACTAGTGGCTTATCTGCTCATCCAATTGGAATGAAATTTCAGATGTTGTTATTTGAAGATATACGCTTGAGATTGCAATGATTTAAAACAGTAGAGCTTTCACAGTTATAGTTACAGGAGAAAAATTTTGGAAAGGCAACACCCATTTTTTTTCTTGTGCAAATTGATCAGTGCATTGAAAAACCATAAATGATGTAGGAACAATACACATATAACAAAAACTGCCAGCATAAAATATTTGCAGAGAAAAAAGCATTGTAAAGGACCAATGACAACTCCAGAGAGGAGAGGGGAAAAAAACTTTTATTGGAATTACAAGTTTTCAACATGCCCACCTTTGCAGACAATAAAGCACTGCATGCAGGAGATTGTTGACAACAATGACAAACAAAGCATCACAGGAGGAATCTGTATAACTTCAGGTTGTATGGCATCTTTCAGTTCTGAAAAATCTCATGGATTTCATATGACATCAGATTACTGATAACCCCAGAACCAGAAATCTGTCAGAAGGAGGTTAGGGGATCTTTGTGGCCATGAAACTGCAAAGTTATGGGAGTGGCTATACCCTGAAATATTATACTTTTTGAAAACTTCTAATTCAGAAAAAAGTCTTTTTCCCTCCCCTCTCTTGTGGTAACATTGGTTGTTTCCAAATATTTTACACCAGCAGGTTTTGTGATATGTGTACTGTTCCAATGCCATTTGTACTGATCATTTTCTGCACTAAAAAAGGTGGTGCCATTCTAAAATTTCAAAGGATTTTCACTGTAATAATCACCATGAGAGCTCTGTTATTCTAAATCATCACAATCAAGAGAGCATATATTCAAATAAACTATCTGAAATGTCATTTCAGTTTGTTGAGTAGATCGTCCGCTAGAGGTTCATATTTATTCCGCTAGAGGTTCATATATTTCGCTAGAGGTTCACACTTTTTTAGAACCACTCTGTACCTGAATACTTACAAAAATGTATACTGTGCTGATTTTTGTACTGATTTTATGCATTAGAGTGCTAGAAAATAATATTTTATTTCAATGTGTAAATTGCTTTCTGATTGTTTGTTTGTTTACCCATCTCTTCCTTTGGCATTTTACCAAAATATAACAGAATACTTAAGTATATTTTTATTTTTCCAACAGAGATAACCCTGCTGAAAGAATAGGCTATCAAAAAGGTGGCATCCAAGATATCCAAAAGCATAAGTAAGATATTTTATTTCCTAATATAGTAAACTTCTAATAATTTGTGCATCTTTGAGCCAAGATTTGTGCACATAGTAGAATTTCAGGACTTATAAGTTGTGCCTTCTTGAATTTTGTTTACATTTTTCTTTTTTAATTTTTTATGATAATTTTGGATTATTTGCAAGTTAATCAAATGATATTTTAATAATTTTTAAATACGATGTATTAATGTAACACTTATATAAAGTCATATGCTTACTAAATAATGCTAGTAAAAGGGAAAATCAATGTGGGGAGAAAAAGAGATAAATGAACAGGGAAATTTATTGAGAAAGCAAAAACCTCTTTTGAAAAAATGCACTCCAATGAAATTATTTTTAAAGCAATTTCATTAAGCTCTTAAAGAAGGTAAACACAGTTAAATAAATAAAAAGATTATTTATAAAACCGCTGGCAGTGTATTTTTTCCCCAAATTGATAATTCCTTGTTATAATTCTGACATTACTTTTAACTCATGTGCATTTGAACTAATAGCAGAATTTACAATTGATAAAAACTGCTAGAACTAGAATTTTGACTTTTTAAGAGAAAATTTCTTTATTCCATAGAGCCTGGTTACCACGTTTTCCATTTCCAATCCTAGCAAAGTCTATGAGTACTACTTTTATAAATTTGTGTGAATTTAAACAAGTCAGCTATAAGGTGCATTTAAGCTAGAACTCAAAATGAACAACTGTGATTAAATAAATTCTTTATAGATGTTAAAATTACATGAACTAGGAATTAATTTTAAAACATGACAAAATATACTCCAAATGATTGGTGTTATTTAAAAAAAATTTGCAGATTTACTGCCCTTACTTCATGTAAAATTGTATGTGCACAGAAAATGCTAAATGTAATGGAATAAATTCATGTTTTCAATTAAAGTACCGTAATTTCTGGAAGAAAGGCCACATCAGTGTAAACGCCACACTCGAGAAAAATGGCGGGAAAAAAATTAAAATTACACAGAAACACCGCATCAGTGTAAACGCCACAATAGATTAAATTGCGCGTGACATCGTCATGGGCCGTATAGATGCAAAAACTCAACCTATCTTCACTATCTGAATTAAAAAGATTTAGTAAATCCTGATCTAAGTCTTCCAGATCGTCACATTCATTCTCTTGGTTTACAGTCTCTTTATCTAAGGATATAATTTCAGCTTCTTTGAACCCTGCTATTATTGATGATGTTTCTACCAATTTCCACGCACTTCCTGCCCACTTTGCAATTTCTTCAAAAGATGCTCTACGCATTTACCGCTTTTGGTTTTACGTATGCAATCCTTCACTCACCCTTCACTCCCACAGCTTTGAAGGATTTATTACCTGCAAATCTAATGGTTGTAAGATTTTTGTCAAACCACCAGGTATTATTGCTTTCGGTCATAGACAATTTTTTAACATCTGGTTTTCACTGACTCAAAGAAATGATCACGCATGGAATCCATTATCAATAACCCTTTGGTTGGAGAAAAGATCCATACGACACTGCCAAACTTTTTGTAGCCACTCATGCACGATTGTTTCACACATCCATCCATTCTCGTTTGCACAAATGATTACGTCATTAGGAAAATCTCCCTTTCGGAATAGTTTTTCTTTCTTTTAAAAATGATCATCGGCTTTAGCTTATCACCGTTTGCGGTATAAGCTAACACACATGTAAATGACATTCTTTCATGCCCCATCGTAAGCACAGATACAGGTTTTGCACCAGTTTCATCAACAGTTCCTGTTTGCAGGTGAGTCGAAAGCTAACAGTGTTTCATACATATTTATTATCTGTGATGGAAGATGTCTTTTTTTTTTTTTTTTTTTTGGTCAATAATATATGTCACATGTTTTAGAAAAGATGCCTTTTTATCCCTCCAGTCCATTGGTAATTTTACCCGACTGTTGTTTTAGTACGCACAGAAATATTTTCTTTCATAAATTGCTACACCTCATTTGAAATCATTTATGTTCATTCGTTTTGCTTAAATTTTGCTTTTAAGCGAATTTTACATTTGAAATGCCATTCCTTTCTTTGTTGCTCCTTTATCCAGTTTGTAAGGTCGTCCTCTAGATTTGGCCACCTTACAGTACTTCTTTTGGCTCGTTTCTGTTGTGGCATATTTTTAAAAAGTTCTTTTTCAGTTCTCCAACGTTGAATACATCTGTCGTCCACTTCAAACTCTCGAGCTGCTGCTTGATTTCCAATTTGTTCAGCACGTTAGGGACATTTTCAAAAATTTTTCGCTCCCTTCTTACTTAAAAACTATCCAACAGGTACTTGCACCCAAACTGATGGGATCTGTATCTGGCAGAATGCCAAGAAAAATCCATTCATGCTGAAGGAGAAAATATGTCAGAGTCGTTATTGCGAGGCAGGTGGAGTCTGTCCGCCTTTGAAAAAAATTGCAGAAAAGGCAGGGTGGGGAGAGGATGGGTCCTGGAAGATTCATCGAATGGCAGAGGAGAGAGACTATTCAAACTGATGAGAATGTGATTTGAAAGGGGGAAGAATGTTATTGTTCTGAGATCTCGTTTAGGGTGAATAAGGCATGTAGGTCCGTTCAAGGGAAAGAATGTAAACAAAATAACGTTCGCAGAAAGCAACTGAGTGGTCTTTTGTGTGGGAACAGCACCAGTCTATGCACAATGACAAGGTCATCCAAACTATGTACAATGACCATCATAGGAAATATTTTATTTTTAGTGCACCTAAATGCCGCATGGGTAGAAACGCCGCACCCACTGAAAATTTAAGTTTTAAACACGTAAACGCCATGGCGTTTCTTCCGGAAATTACGGTAGGTTTCAGATATAACGCATTTTTGTAAAAATATTTATTTTCATATTTATATTAAAAAAATTATAGTTAAATTCACCAAGCTGAATTTTCTAAATTTTTTTTCTATATAATTTTTATTTCCATAGAGTACTCTTTCTCATCTAAAAAAATAACAGTAACATATTCAGTTCTTGTACATAAAAAAGATGCTTTATCTATTGAAACAATGAGAATAAATTCAGAATTAATTTTTTTCATTACAAAATTAAACTTTAAAATCACCATTCTTCCATTACCCACTGAATATTTTCCCTAAAATTCTGTAAAAAAACTATTGATTTTTCTTTGTTCCGTTTAATTTTTCACAAAATTTGGGTCTGATTGATGTTGCTAATGACATATTTATTGTGAAATTTAATTTTTTTTAATATGATGTAAAATTTTCTAAAATTTGAATATATTTCTTTTGCTTACCGACTTTCTTCACGTACTTATTCACATAAAACATATTTTATTCACATATTGGTTCATAAATATTGCATTGTAAGATTATTATATTAAACTAACCAGTTACTATGATTTGGATCTGTACTTTAATTTCTCCTTTCTGTTTTCTCACCAGAATGCAGATAAGATAGCCAGTATTTAAACTAAGGTTTTTGGAGTTTAGTTTCTGGCTGCACATGCACGTTATATTTAGTTCCTGCAACCTCTATTATTTGTGTTATTTTACTGCTGACATTTTGGCTTTGATGCTCCAGTAGAAGTACTTATCCAACTTTGAGTATAATTTAAACTGTGTAGTCCTTCACTACTGTTGCATGTTTTAACTTGAAATTGACTTTTCTGTTTAGTTAAATCACCATGAGCTGTTTCTGATATTGTTAGTATAAGAGAGTGCATTTATGTTCTAAATTCTGTTAAAATGTTTATTTAAATATTTCCATGACTTTGCAGTTATTCCAGACATAGTGATAATTTGTTTTACATCTGTTGAGGTTTTTGGACTAAATATCAGTTCCATATAAAATGAAATTTAATAATCGTTCTATGTGTGGTAACTCTTGAAACAGGATATGCATAAGTTCAACATTGCAGTCCTGCAAAAGAAATGCACTTAAAAAAAAAAAAATACTCACTTCAGATATAATGCATTTTTGTAAAAATATTTATTTTCATATTTATATTAGAAAAAATTATAGTTAAATACATCCAAACTCATCAGCTTAAATTCATCTTCATCTACTACTTATTTTACAAAACTATTTGAAAATGGAAGTTAATAAAGAGCTGCATGAAGCATATATTTTGTCTTGCACAAAGCTATAGAACAAATAGTTTTTAGTGCAAAATCAAATTTAGAGGACATATGTTGTCATGTATTGAACATTTTTGTAGTTAAATAGTTAAGGGATGATGATGAAAATGAAAAGCATAGTTTTTGGCGATTCATTGCAAAGCCCATAAGACACAGGGCATGAGAACATCAGTCCAGACAGTCAGTTTGGAATGACTGCCTGGACATGTACCATAATAGTTAAGATGTTAAGGCTACTTTGATCCTATAAGGGGGGCAATCAAATGAAAACGAGACAGACTATATAATGAGCATGGTGCAGAATTTGGTAACACAGATTTGTTATAGAAGCACCCTCTATTGTGAATAAGGAAGGAACATTATGAATCCTCACCACTGCGTCATTTGTCTGTTAGATGAGCTCGAAGTGAGGTCAGCGAGTTGTGTGGGCATCTGCCATCACTGGAGGCCAGGAAAGAGGAACAGCTTGCTGTAGTGCATTTTTGATTGCGGAAGGAGTGTGGGGAAGTGAAATTCATGCTCGAATGTCTGCGTGTGTAAGGCAAATACAGTATGTCACGTGTGCATATTTTGTAATGGAATAACCGATAATGAGAAGTCACTGAAAGATGGCAGTTAACCAGAACAGTTCATCGTATCATTACCCTTCTGTCGTTGCATCGTATCATTACCCTTCTGTCGGTGGATGCTGCCATCAGAGAAGACTTACACCGAGCGGTGGAAGACATTCGACTCATGTTGGTCATTAATCACAGTAGTACTTTTGCCATCTTGACAGGGCATCTGAAGTTCCAAAAAATCTGTGCATAATGAGTTTGCCACAGCCTGACAGAGGAGCAGAATTTAATGAATCTTGGTACCATTATTTTGAGCGAGAGAGCAAGCTTCAGAGGAAAGCGCATGGATTCACCCCCAGTGAGAAAAAACCAAAGCCGTATACTCCAGCTCTGGGAAAGTCATGCTGACCTTCTTCTTTGACTGCTAGGGCAATCAGATCTAGATCCAGTGGCGTAAATAAGGTATGCAAAGAATGTCGTCGCATAGGGGCCCGAAGGCTTAGAAGGCCCTTGATTGTTCTGCTGAACTACATTTATATGTTTCAAATTTAAAGCCGATGGATTTTTTTTATAAATACTATATATATATATATAAAATGGAATCTGTCTTCTTTTGGCGTTCTGCATCATATGACATAGTTAGGGAGCTCTTTGAAGCAGATTAAAAAAAGCTGAATTCATTGTTACATACACTAAAACTTCAACTGAATACAAAGCAGAAAAGAAAAGCGCTTTTATTTTGATTCCCTCATAGAGGAGAGCTTTTGCTGCCCAACCGGTATAGTGGTTAGCGTCGCTGACATGAAAAATGTCAAATGACTCCATGTCAAATTTAAAAAAAAAAAAAACATAATTTTCGGCAAATAACAAAATTTAACATTTCATTCGGTCTCTTGGTTCTTATACTTAAAAGTTTTATACTTGTTATGAAAAAATAAATTAGAAGAAGTTTGACTCCTGTATGACAAAAACTGGCCAGGATATTTAATTAAAAATGGAATTTTTAATTTTTGTCAAATGTCATTTTCAACTTGCCTTGAAGAATCGGGTAATTAAGTTAAAATTATTCGAGGAAATAACTTTTAAGTGAAATGCAGCCAAAAAAAAGTGTGTAATTTAACAGATGATACAAGGAAGTCATGTGTCTCCATATCAAGTTTTTAACTATTAAACCTGATCTGATAAAAATCATTATCAAAAGGTTGACTCCTGGAAACCTGGATTTTTTTGGGGGAAGGAGTAGTATTGCAAATTTATTTTGGGAGCAAGAACTTTTTTTTTGCATAGGAACCCTAGATTTTTAGTTATGCCACTGTCTAGACCCCTGACAGTCCAGATTTCTGCCCTTGCAATTTTCATATTTTTGGAGCCCTGAAGCGCGAATGCCCTGAATGGCATTAGTGGCTGTCAATTTGCTTTGGACAAAGAGGTGCATGCCTGTCCATGAAGAGATTCCATGGGCAACCAAAAACACTTTTCCATGATGGTATTGACCAGTCTCACAGTGGGATAAATTGCTTTAATGGTTATGGCGATTACTTTTGAAATAATAATCAGGTTACTTACTTTTTTTCCATCTGTTTCGTTTTCATTTGACTGACCCTTATTAAATCTGTTATGCAGGAAATACTTTACGATGCTCATCTTCTTCTCCATAAAGAAAAATTATTATGGCAATTTGGAAATGCTATTTCTTGAATAAATTTGCTTGCTACATTTATCCTGTTTTTACCAAAAAAATTTATATTTTTTTACAGGTGGTTTGATGGATTTTATTACGAGGGACTTAGAAATCGCACATTAGTGCCACCTATTATTCCTCAAGTAAGTTCCATTATTTACATATATGCTGTTATAAATTTTCCGATTATGAATTTTTCTGTTATTTAATTACTGAATGGCTGCTATACAAAAAAACAATTATGACAATGTTTTATTCAGCCTTGTATTTGTGTTTGTGTAGTACAAGGTGGCTCATGACATCAATGGCTCATCAGATTTTGAAGTACTGTACTTAAAAGAAGTTAAAAGTTTATAATCATAAAGTAGAAGCTATGTAAGCTGTTAACATATTAAAAATATGAAAATGTCATATTTTCAGGCAAAACAAAATTCAGCCAATAGGACAATTGCAATTTATTTCTTAGTAGTTTTTTAACCACTTTTCAGCTCAGTAAATTTCAGAAAACCAATCAAATATTAAATATAAAGCACTGCATGCAGTATTTCTTTTTATAACAGAATTTGGAAGAAACTATATTTTAAATTAATAAATATGTGAAAAATCATTCATATGTCAAAAATAAAGTATACATATAGAAGGAAAATTACAATTACCTCTGTAATGGTGGCTTTTTGCTCACACATAAGTATGAGCAATAAGCTTATTTAACATAAATTCCCCCTGTAATGTTGAAGTTTTTAACACATTCAAGTAGTAATAAGCATTTTACATAGCTTTACATACATTATATGTAGGGCTTAATTTCTTAAATTAGAAGTGCCGGAGCCCTATGGAAGATCGTCAGCAAAGAGGAACAAGAGTAAATAAATAAATAAAATTACTATTCAACTCATTAATCATTTTAAAATTAAATAGTTAATTACTATCAAATTGATTAATAGCTATTTAATTAATGTTTGTAAACTGTTATTTAATGAATAATTAGATAATTAATTAATTATAATTTAATTCATAATTATTAATAATTAATTATTATTTATTGAAATAACTAAAGATTAAAGTAATTAAATAACTAAAATTAAATAAAATGTAAAGAGATAAATTGAAATTTAAAAAGTGATTTTTAATATAATTTTATTGTTAAAATAATTTAGAGATAAAATTTCTACTGAAATTGTTATTCAAGTAAATAAAAAAAGTGCAGCAGCCTTCTTATTCAGGGCTCCATTGTGTTTCGGCTAGAATTATGATTTATTACAAAAACTAAGAACCACCGGAGCCAAGATCCGGTGGACGCCGGTCCAATTTAAGCTCTGATCGTAGGGGGATGGAAGTTCTTTTATCATCACATAAATTAAATATACTTAAAGTATAGCTGACAAAAATTCCAGGGCAAAACAGAATGAGGGTATGAGTGGATGGAAACAAAAAATGAAGGGAATTTTGGTGAGAGAGAATGTTCTCTTTGACCGCGGCTCTCTGCTGATATAATTACAGCCATCAAGAGATGTGGGTCGGGTAAAACGAGTCCTGAATCTGACTCCTAAGGATGAATGTAAAGTTACTGTTTATGCTTCCCCCCCCCATTAGTGGATATTGTGGGGAAGACGATGTATAGGACGTGCTTGAGCAGTTTATCTCGGTATTTCACTCTCTTATTGTACTCGCTGTCACTTAACGCACATTTAAGAAGACAAATTTTCCTTCTTGCGGGGATAACTAACTGTAAGTATCGATAACAATAGAGTAGATACGATGGCATGGCGAGAAATTTACGCGTTCCTAAACAAACTTCCCCAAATTTATTGCCCTTCATAAGGTGAAAGGTTTGCACATGTGAGTAAAGGGACTTTACTTGAACGTCTCATGTTTTCATGAGTTCGTATTTCTAGGGAAATAAAGTATTGCAAGGTCTGCTTATTGTTAAACTAAAACGTTAGGAATTCTATTTTTTCCCTTTAAATTGTGGTTCATTTTATAAAAAGAAGTACTAGAGCTCATCTTCTGTAGGGCTCCGGAGCGCTCTGGCTAAAATTGTAATTTATCTTAAAAATTGAGAAGTACCGGAGTTGGGGCTCCAGTGGGCTGTGGCGCAATTTAAGCACTGATTATATAGCTATTTATCATACCTCTGTAAATATTAGCTATAACTGTATTTCTTTTTGGTATGGTCTATTTTAAAACAAGATACAGGAAGTTTTTTTTTTTTTTTTTTTTTTTTTTTTTTTTTTTTTTTTTTTTCGTATATATCAAAACAAGGTATGAATGAAAATTAAAACATCACCTTAACCTTTACATGATTTTTTTGTAGCTCTTTAATATAAGTTTGTATGAAAAACTCATAGTTTAGCCCTTTAATGATATCAAAATGTATACTTCTTTCATTAGAAGCAATGTTAACTTTTCTTCTTACTCGGTTTAAGTTTGCAGTTTCCTTGTTTATACTTTCATGTATGCTTATTTTGGTACTTTTCCATTTGGCCGGTGCAGGCGATAAATTCGCCAAAAATGGAGTACAAACGATAGCAAACGGAATATCCTTGCTGGTAACCTTTTATGCCTCATTTTCAAAACAAGTTGCAGCCATTGCTTATGTGTAGAGTAAGTGGGGCACTGTTTAAAGCAACTAATGTAATCACCTAACACATTGTATAAATGTAATGTGTCATTAAGGCACCATTTAAAAAAATATTTCACATTTAGTTGTAATTAACTTATAGTATTATTTGTATTTTATCACAGCACTATTTCGTAATATTAAGGCATTATATTATGGAATACCGTTAAATAACGTATTCATGGATCTTATTGCTAAATGCACTATATTATTGTACTATAATATTACACATTGACGTTTTGCTTATTGTCATATGTAGGAATTTATGCAAGATGTCTTGTAATCATTTTTGTGAAGTACTTTTCTATGGTATTCCTGATTAAGAGCAATTAATGGCATTTGGTCTTTCAGACACTTCCTTGTTGTGGTGGCTGCTTGTTGTTTTTTCCACTGATCAGGCATTATTCTCTTCGGTTTTATCTTAGGTCGTAAGCCTGGTCAGTGGCGCATAACCACATACAGACAAATCAAACTGTACAAAAAGAATAGCTGCCCAATAAGACACAGGCAAAACTGTTAAGTGATTAATGCAATGTATTATAATATTGAAAATAGCAAATATTAATTATTTAGGATGTATTTATTCTTTGCAATGTGTAATGATTACATGGCATAACCATTTTTCTGCTTACCTGTATCATTTTTAACTATTCATGATTACTGTATTTCTAATTACCATGTTTACCATTTCAATGCAATAAAGTTAATTCATTTACAATATGATATTTATATTTGCAATGTGCGATATTTCCTGGTTAAACCACTTTTCTATGAAATGAGTGGGGGGAATGGTGAAAGATATTTTTTTTCTACATTTTAATTAAAAATAATAAATTAAGGCTCCAAGTATTTCTGTGGGGGTGAAATTAATTTAAAAATACATTTCAAACGTCCAGTTTCTGAGTTCAGTATGCACCAGCAGCCAAGTGATAAAACAGCTGAGTGCTATTAGTTCAACCAACCCTCAGATTTTAGTGAATGGACTAGTTCCATAGGATTTTTGTGATTTTCATTATACGTAATATGAACATGACTTAGTTTTCCTAAAAAGTCCTCTACAAAGGCATCCTTCCTGTCAATGCAAGTAGTCTCGAGTGGCTCTGCTATAATCTAAATGTTAAGCTTGGGAAAATTACAAACTCTACTATTATACCTAATTTATATGGGCATTTTGAAGAGTAGAAAATCTTTATTTGAAATTTTTGATGCAAAAAAATGGTGTAAAAGCTTCTACTGATTTTATTAGGTCACAAATACCAATAATAACTTTACAGATTGGCCTAAATTGTTTACAGATAGAAGTCAATAAATTCTCAATCAACTCTAAGAGTAGAAAATATAAACATGTTACACTTATTCATTCTTCTTTTTTTTCTTCCAAGCTTCAAGCATTCACTGCTAATCAGCATTTGAAATAGTGCAAATAGTTCTGTTAATTTAATGTTTTAAATGCACTACATAGCGTTATTTTAAACAATTTTTTCTCTTATCTCAGGTACGAAGTCCTGTTGATTACTCCAATTTTGATAGATATCCTCCAGATTGTGATCCTCTTCCTCCTGATGATTTGTCTGGCTGGGATGGAGATTTTTAAGAACTTCAGTTTTAGAAATTTATAATTATTTCAGTTTATCAAATTAACTTATAGGTCAAATCAAGGTGCCATAATGGCATATCTCTAGTACAAGCTTCACATCAAATATGTGTATTTCATATTGTGCAATAATCAGTCATATGCCACAAATCTGTAAAACATGAAGATTTGAGTTTATTTCATTTTCATGGAAATTATTAATATTTGTTATATTGTGTGACACTTCGAGAGCAGTCTATTGTTATCTTTTACTAATCACAAGAAATTTTGTATTTTAAAAAAATGTTTTATTTAATGTTATTGAAAGTAAAATTAGATTTGTGTGTGACAATAAATTTAATTCACTTGCAGTTTCTCAACATGGTTTTGAAAATTTGTAATGGAACACCATGGTGTAGTAATTTATGCTGGAGTAAATTTTATAAAATAATTATTGTACAAATTATGATATAATATAATTTGTTGCTTGACAAAAAATATTTTGTTGATCAGAAAATATTATAATCTTTGTTTAGGGATTGTATAAACATTAGCTGTGAATACAGGGCCAGTGCAAGAGCCAGGCGCACCTGCATATGGTGGCAACTACTAGGGAGGGAAAATTTTTAGAATTTTGGGAGGATTGAGTGGTAGAATTTAGATTCACTTGTACCATGCTGGGCAGCAAAAATCCCAGCTCTGGCCTTGTGTGCACATCCAAATTAAAGTCTTTGCAATGATTTTTAAAGAATTTATTAATGCATTATTAATGCTCTATTGCTTGACTTTAACATGGCATAACGTCATTTTTTCTCTGTTCTCCCAAATTTAGCTAAAATTAAATCCACCACCACCAAATTTATCTGTAAACATTCTTGAGAAAGCACAAATTTTTAATTTTCTTAGTAGAACTACTCACTGAAATAGAACTAAAATTTATTATTATTTCAAACAGTTAAAATTGCTTTCTTTTTAAAATGCAACTCATAATTATGCTCAGGAACAATTTTAATTATGTTTAGCAAGTGGCATAATTTTTATTTATCTTGTAATTTTTCTTTAACATTATTAAGAGGATTGTATTTAGAGTTTTATAATACATATCAATAAATGAAAAGTAAGGAGGTACTGTTGTGAGTAATTGTTAATAAAATATCCGTCCTTCCTATTGAAAAGGTATATATCACTTTTGTTCATGTTTAAATTGCCTCTTAAGTACTTAAATTATTGTAAATAATTTATTTCTTACATATAGAAAGTATATAAGTGGTAGGAGGTATGTTTAAAGTAGAGTTAAAAAAGTGGTATAAATTTGTTCTAGTTATATTTGTTGCACTAATGTATAATATATTAAGCGTATTTCAAAATGTGGTATCCTTAACTGTTTTTCTTTAAATAATTTATAAATATGAACTCGTAGAATAAAACTCAAATATTAAATTTCTTCGTAATTTTTTCCCAAGCTGTGTTACTTTAAATTATAAAAAGGTTTGAAATTCCGAACACATCTTTTTTCTCCACAGCTTAGTTTAAAAATAAATGTATGGAATGTATTAAAATTTGATTATTATACATAATATAATTTTTATTATCTATTGAACCTTATTTTGCTAAGAAAATCAGTTATTCATTTGATTTAAAATACTTTTTCATTTTAATCTTCTGGTTGTTAAACAATGTATTATTTTCTTAACCAAATAATTTTTTAACATATAAATTTCAAAAACTGCAACAAGTGAAACGACACTACAGCATTTGATGTGTAGTTTTAAACAAATCTATTCTGGAAATCTTGTTTGGCTATGAATAGTATGTAGACAAACCTAATATAATAAAACATGAGAATTAAGTGTAATGCCATGTTTTCCTTAAGCAATATAAAAATCATTACATCTCATGAAAAAGTACTTTTTTAAACTTCTGGCGATGTCATTGTATTTTTCTGAATTATATAAAGTAAATAAAATTATATGTAAAAGCTTTATTGATTGTTTATCAAATTGTGTTGGTTTTTCAAATATTATATATTTGTTGTTCATTTTATAATTTAAAAGAAATCTTCTTATTTGCTGTATAGAGATTGCATAACATTTAAATAAATATATTTCAATATTAAATACGATTTATTACACAATTCTTTTTAAGGATCATGATTCCTTCTAAAGCTTAAGAGTTTTAGCTTTCTGAATCATCCCTAATATATTTTCTAAATAATAAAAAATTAACCATAGTTATGCAGCTACATTTTTAACTTCTTTATGCATAAACATGACTACATTAAAGACTATTTTGCAGTAATAGTGTCGTATTTATTTCTTATTTTGAAAATTTTTTAATGTAAATGTCAGTCTATAAACTTGATTTGTTGTGTTGTAAAATTTAATTTAGCTGGAAGGAAAAAAGTCTTATAAAACTAGCTGGAAATATAGTTGAATGGAATGTGCCTTGTGTATTTAATAATATTTATGTTTAATTTCTAAAATTCATATCCTCTGATGACAAAATAGTTAAAATTAAATTAACTGAATACTTATTGTATATCTGTTTGAATAATGTATTTAACCTTTGACTACTATTTGTAAATTTTGCTCAAAATGAAACAGCACAGTTAGTGCTTGTATATAATGTATAATCAATGTGTTGTAATTTTGTCTTACCTGAAAGATCTTAAATCTAGAACTTTTATGTGAAAAATAAAGCTTTTATTGAAATGGATGGGTGTTGAGTTTCTAGTGTATGCCTCGTGAAGAAATTTATACAGTTTGAAATTGTTATTCATTTATGTAGCTGTAATGGATAATAATCCAGTTGATATACATGTTGAGTTCTAGTAATAACATAATATAGACCAATTTTGTCCACTTAAAATGTAATTCAGTAAGTTTTCTTTATTTACCATTTTATGCTATATAAAAATGCCTGCTGTATGCTTATTATTATTATCACAATGTGTAACTCTGTAGTAAGGAATTAGTCTCTTATAGTTTTGTTTTCCAGTGCTGGGTGAATGCTGTAAGAAAATAATTTCTTTATATATATTCAGCAGTTAAATTGGTTTTATTTTATCTGCTTGTCATTTAGCTATCAAAATCAGGATATCTATGAACTCTCATAAGCAATGGCCATACACCCCTCCCAAAAAAAAATAACAACTGAAGGAAAAAAAAGCTTTCAGATTTTATATATGCCCAAAGACGCATTATGTTTTAATGTTTTCTGTGTTACATTTATTTATTAAATATCATGTTTCTTCACACTTAAACCGTAAATTCAATTCAACAGCAATATCACAAAATATATTATAGAACATATCTTTAGAATTTACACACACTGAAGATAAGAATCCCCCCCCCCCGTACAGTGTTGTCATTGCTCTCTTTGAAATCGTTGAGTTTCTTGGATCAAAAACTCATGAATACTTTACAAAATGTGGAATAGATTATAAAACAAATTCCAAATTTGGGCTTCTAGATGCCCATATTTAGGTGGAGACGTACGTTATTCAAAATTTGATGCTCTAGGTACCGTTGTTTTATCACAGTGCAAGAAACATGCATACATTTATGCAAATTCTTCATTATGTAATTTCTTTAAATATAATACAGAGCGATAATATTTGGTGGCAACAAAGTAATTCGCCGTTTGTAGTGAATTAATGCAAAATGAAATTAATAGGCCTTCTGAAAAATTGCTCCTTTGGGCTTTTAAAAAAAAAAAAAAAAAAAAAATTTGTAATTTTTGTTTCAAAAATTAGAAAAATATTATCCTTTCTAAATTAATTATCAAATAATATATCAACAGTATTCTCCCATGAAAAATGTGTGCTTTCATTCTGAAAATAACAGTTATGAAAAGGTGAATCTGTGTAATTCAGCCATAATTCCTCATACAAAAAGATAAATGGAGGGTCACAAAGAGTGTGACATATAAAAAATCGATTTTATTATACTGCAAATTACGTACAAAAAATTAAATGCAACAAATTTTTATTTTACAATAACAGAGCAAAGGGAAAACATGCATTAAAATGTAATGTAACTATTAACTTTCATGTAACTATTTAATTTATCCAGTATAGTAAATGTAAGTTATTTTTGAATGCCCATTACTAAATGTGCACTTCAACCTTTTTCATATTTTCAGTTTGTGATCACAAAACGATGACTAATGTAAACTGAAAATGAAGAATAAATACATGCAGAATACTATTTGCTACAGAACAGAAATATACACTGAAGTGACAAAAGTCATAGGATACCTCCTAATATTTTGTCGGTCCTCCTTTTGCCCGGCGAAGTGCAGCAACTCGACGTGACATGGACTCAACAAGTCGTTGGAAGTTCCCTGCAGGAATATTGAGCCATGCTGCCTCTATAGACGTCCATAATTGCGAAAGTGTTGACGGTGCATGGTTTTGGGTACGAACTGACCTCTCGATGATGTCCCATAAATGTTCGATGGGATTCATGTCGGGCGATCTAGGTGGCCAGATCATTCGCTGGAATTGTCCAGAATGTTCTTCTAACTAATCGCAAACAATTGTGGCTCGGTGAAATGGCCCATTGTCATCCATAAAAATCCTATCGTTGTTTGTACGTGAAGTCTATGAATGACTGTAAGTGATCTCCAAGTAGCTGAAGGTATCCATTTCCAGTCAATGATCGGTTCAGTTGCACCAGAGGACCGAGTCCATGCCATGTAAAAACAGCCCAGACATTATGGAACCACCACCAGCTTGAACAGTGCCTTGTTGACAACTTGGGTCCATGGCTTCGTGGGGTCTGCGCCACACTCGAACCCTACCATCAGCTCTTACCAACTGAAATCGTGACTCATCTGACCAAGCCACGGTTTTCCATTCGTTTAGGGACCAACCGATATGCACAAGAGAGTCGCTGCAGGCGATATCGTGCTGTCAGTAAAGGCACTCGAGTCGGTCTTCTGCTGGCATAGCCCAAGGAAGACAAATTTCGCCGCACTGTCCTATCAAACACGTCCCACATTGATTGCGGTTATTTGACGCAGTGTTGCTTGTCTGTGAACATTGACAACTCTACGCAGGCGTCGCTGGTCTCGGTCGTTAAGTGCAGGTGGTCGGCCACTGCGCTGTCCATGGTGGGATGTTATGCATGAAATTAGCCCTGCCAAAGCACTTCGCATTTATACATTTTCTATGCGATACTACTGCCATCTGTATATTTGCATATTGCTATCCCATGACTTTTGTCACTTCAGTGTAAATGGTATCAATACATATATTTCTCTTGTCAATCTCCATCATCATAGCATGTCTATATAGAGCTGCTTAGCACCATTGTCACAAACTTGTTTTCAGATTAGTTAGTCATATGGAAACACTTCTAAGAATGTGTTTAGTTTTTCAGTAATACAGTTCTGACACGGTAAAATTAAATCTGTTGCCGTTTGAGAGAAGTACTTGCTGCAAACCCATGAAATATTTGCACAGCTAAATCTTGAATAATTTAGTCTTCCTGTTTTCAAATAAGTGCACAAATATCTAAGTGGCATTAATTGGCAACGGGGAAAAAAGAAAAAAAAAAAAAAAAGATTTTTTTAAAAACATTTGACTTTGTCATTTTAAATAATTTATTTCAAATGTAAGATTTTAATTATCTGTGTCTTAAATATTTCTGGGAAGTAATTTTTAAACTAGAAGGTCTACTATAACTGCTCAGCTTAAAATTATTTCAGATAATCTGCATATCAAGATCAGATTGCGAATACATCTGTTAATTTTTGTATTATTAATTTTAAACATTTTAGGAAAACTTTTTGGCTCCTTAATGTTAAATTCATCAATGTATTTCAGTTTGTAATCTGAGATTTTCCTAATTGTTATTATCGTAGTAATCTAAAATATTCAGATTTCATTTTCTTTAAAAATATTTTAATGCATTTAATAAAAAAAAGGGGACAGAATTTCGATTTTTAGAAATTTTTCTTTTATTATTATTTCGATGAGGGGATGCTACAATAAAATAACAAAAGAGGAATATATGAAAGAACAAGGAGGAAAATACGTTCTTACATTAAAGGTAATATTGCATTAGTTAATAAACAAGAGTTCAAGTTTGCTGCCATTATATACATGGGGCATTATTTACTGTATAACCATAATGGGTTACATTATACAGTAAATAACTGTATAACCATAATAGGTTAATGGGTTAGTACGACCTGCAATCAAAAGTATTTCCCAAATTTTTTGTCTTTTGTTTCTTTCTTATTTCTGTCATATAAACAACTGTTTCAAACAAACCCGCTATAGCCGTTCCTTTGAAATCTCGTAATATTTCGATTTTTATTGTATCCAAGGCAGTTTTTTAGGTTATTTGTATTTTCGGTTAAGTTTAGAGGTTGCAGTCGCAATGAACCCTACAATTACAAAAGGTTGCTGAGGACGTTAATTTCTATTTGAAAAAATAATAAACATATCGTATGATGTACTTAATAGGCATCCTGAAAGTTAAGTGTGATGTCCACCTATTTCCCTGAACAATTCATGAATCGGCATCTGGTTACCCATGCATTAATTAACACAGATAATCGAGAATTCACTGAATACTAATACTGATGATGATATTTTATCAAACAAAACATACACAAAAAGGGGAAAATGATCTATACTCAGAGGCTTAATTTTTCTGCCCTAATTTATTAAGGCTTCCACCCTAAGCAAAATCTCAACGTTACAAGGCATAATTTTTATTCAAATTTGTTTGCATCTTCTTACTTTGTGTTAATGCCTCGCCAAACGGGTTCGCTCGCGGCGCCAACATATGTCATCAGTAAAGAAAGAACATGCGATCGTTTTAAAAAAAAGGAGGGTAGTCAATAAAAGGATCATTCGACATTTGGTCGGAACGATGCTGCCAGGAATGATTAAACCATGGCAAAACACAGCGTCAAGAAAGCAGCTGTCGTCGCAAGGACCATTCATTGGCGACTTTGAGAACAAGGTCTGCGCTTACAAGTATATGTTGTGCCCATCATTGCCCACCACTATGTTCAATCGACAAGCACGTTTGCATTGGTGCTGGGCTCTGTTGACCAGGAATCTTTGATTTCAATTTAATTATCTTCAGCGATGAGTCCCGCTTCGAAATGAGTTACGATGACCAACGAATACGTATTTGTAAACGTCAGGGCAGCAATGGGATGCTGATCTGACTGTAGCCCGCCACGCAGTCCGACAATGAGAGATATAATCTGGGGTGTTATTTCATTTGATAGTTTAAGACGTCTGGTTATCATCCGTACAGCATATGGGGACATCGACGATATTTGCTGAACTGTTGGCTTCCCTTTCGAAAACCCCTGGGCTTACCTTTCCACAGGATAATACCAACTGTTTAAGAAGATGTTGATAATGCCCAACTGCATATATAGCAATCATTTCTACTGATTGTTTTCGTGCTTATCAAACTTCCATGGCTACCTAGATCGCCAGATCTCTCTCCTCTAGACCGGCACGTTTGGAGTCCGACGAGCAGGCACCTCCTCTTGTCTCGGGATGCCATGGATCTGATCCAATAATTGGAGAGACTCTGACAAAACATCTCGCAGACGCTCATCTGCCAACTGTACGAGTCACTACTAAGCCAGATAACAGTTTGCATAAAGGCATAGAGGTGGATCCTTTTTGTAATTGGATACTTTTACTGTAATCCTTTTCGATTTATTCGCAATATGTA